GTGCTTTCAAACAGTAAAAGAATTTTTAATTGGTCATATCATCCATACAGTCAGTCGCTATTCCCCCTTCCTATTTCAATGTTAGCAATCCAGAGATTGATGAAGATTACAGCAACTTTAAATACATTTAAAAAAAAAAAAAAAAAAGATTTAATTGTATTTACTGTACTACACACAAATTCAGACATTTTTACAATCTGATACTCTTTAGTGATCTTCATTGCTTGTAATACCTTATGGGTCCTTGCAAATGGGTATAAGAAAGGTATTTGACCATTTTTTAAAAGTTCTTTTTGTCACATCTATTGTGAAGAATTACATTTTTGCTTTTATACTAACATTTCAGACCATGTGTAAAATATTGCAAGATAACTACATAGTGTCTAAAGTTATTCATTTCCCAAATATTAATAAAGGATAAATGAATAAGTGAAAAATACAAATAGTGTAAGTTAATATAAAACTGATATAAAAGTCTGTCTGCATAGAAAACTATACAGATAATTGTTGTGTAATGATAGGTTTAAGCACAGGTTGCATAGCTAGCATATAAAGTAAATGTTTTACAAGCATTTTTATTTTTCATCGATTTGTTCCCCATAAAAGGTTAAAAAGCTACAGGCATGTAGTACCCAACAGTTCGTTCCATTTGATTATTTTAATGACAATAGTTTTAATCAATCCTTCAGCAGTTAAAGACTCTATATGCATCAAAAAAACTTTAGCTTAAAGAAACACTATAGGGTCAGGAACACCAACAATTATTCTTGATCCTATAGTGTTAAAACCACCATCTATCCCCCTTGACCCCTTAAATATAGCAATATCATATCTTTATTCCAGTCTGCTGGTGCTGGCTCTGACCCTGATCTGTCTGCTTGGCACAAAATCAATGCATCTCTATGAGGAAAGTTCAGTTTCTCCATGTCCCAGGAAGCACCTCAGTGGCCAGTGGAGGTATGTTTAAGCTGTAATGTAAACACTGCCTTTTCTCAAAAAAAGAAAAAGACAGTGTTTACTACAAAATGCCTGAAGGGAATGATTATACTCGCCAGAACAAAAAGAAAAGCTGTAGTTGTGACTGGTGACCATAGTGTCCCTTTAATGAGGTTTTGGTGTGTAGATCATGCCAATGCAGTCTCACTGCTTAATTCTATGACATTTAAGAGATAAATCACTTTTGTTTCTGTTTATGCAGCCTTAACTACAGCTCCTGTGGCTGTGACTGACACAGTCTGCCTGAAAAAAGGTAAAATTTTTAACCAGATGTTAAAAGAGAATAGGACTAATGGGTTGCAGATTATAAACAATCTGCCTCCCAAAAAGACCCAAGAGGGATTAATAAAGAGTTTTTCGTTTTTTGCTCTCTGCGCTCCACTTTTATATTTATAATTGCAGAGTAGCTTTTTTCATATAAGGATACAAGGTCTGTTTGGGAGGCAGATTGTTTATAATCTGCAACCCATTAGTCCTATTCTCTTTGTACTTCTAGGGGTTAGGCCCCATTGTATCTCTCAACCATCACAACCTGGCGGATGGATTTGTTCCATTCCTAACCAGTGCTGTGTTTCTTTTTAACCAGATGTTAACTTGCTTTAGAAGTTTTCATCTATAACTCTGTAAATTGAGCTTTAATCACACACAGGCTCCTGCAGGGTCTAGATGACTAATTTAGAATTTCTCATTTTTCTGTAAACAGACTGTGCCAAAAAGTTTAACATTAGATCCCTCTTTACATGAAGGGTTTAGAGAGGCTCTGCAAGCCACATACTGTGAGGTGTAAATATGGCAGCATACACAAAGTGATTTAGTTTCTCAATGGCAGAGAATGAGCAGTGAGACTGCAAGGGCATGATCTATACCCCAAAACAGCTTCATTAAGCTAAAATTGTTTAGGTGCCTTAAGTGTCCCTTTAATACAGTCTAGAAAAACATATCATACAAACAGACAATAGAACACATTCAAACTAGCTTGTTAATCAGGTTTGGTGATGGTTATGTCAATTGATAGCTTGCCCTTAAGCTTTTAATGTTAAAACAGAGTAGCTTTTCAGCCAGCCAAGATATTTATTACATGTTGTCTCTATGTTCCCTAAACCAATGTTTTACAAATGAGTGCGTCTTGATGTCGTCACACTAAAGCATATACAAATGAGTCCAAATAGGCAGGAGCTAAAAAAAGAAACATCACAGGATAAATTTCGTAGAGCCACATGAAAATCCCCCATGCTAAAGCAGACACAGTCTGGGTACGGATTTCCAAAATAGGTGCTAAAGTAAAAACTAGCAAAAAAATAAAACAAGCCACCAACAAGCATTCCGTTATGCAATAATACCATAAACATTTCACACCAGATAATGTTTTTGAACGATAATCTTCACACTTTATACTCTTAACATAAAGAACACTTATATGGTTACACCATAAGAAAATCTTGTAAAATAAGCCTTAACTAACCTGGAATCCAGCACCCTGCAAAGTGTCCCACACTGGTTTCCACGTCTTGTCCGTAACCACAGCTTCCCTCATGAGGTCCAATCAAATGCTTTTATTGGACTGTTCTCACCAGCTCAGAGGACATGCAGGAGCTCTCAAAACCAGGGGAGGGATGGACTTAGAAGGAAGTAAGTTGGAGGGGGTGGGGGGAAGGGTATTATAGTTGAAAAAAATAAATCGATTAAAAAAAACAAGAGCATTAAAGGGTTTCTTCAGCCCTTTTTCGATTTTATCAGAATGATACCTAGGCATTAGTCTCCAGGTACCCCAAGTTTTTACTCACCCCAGCCCGACACTGCATGGTACCCCTCATATCATGGGAGCCATGCCAATGTTCAATCAAAGGCTTCTCACAGCCAGAGGGCTGCAATCAGCGTGGGAGGGAGGGGAGACCAGGTTCTCCCTTGTAGGCACTCTGCCTGCAAGGTAGAAGCTATTAAGACTATCAGTAGCATGCAGTGTTCGCTGACAACAGATATAAATTATGCACACAATTGATATTCGGCAACCCAGAAGAAAGTTCCAGGCTGCCTAAGTCATGTGTGCTGGAGATACAACTTTTAATAATATCTCTGTTTATACATTCATACACAGTGTTGGCACTCAACTGTGGGTTAGGTGACCGACCGACAAGTTCCAAAATTATCAAAAAAAAAAAAAAAAACGAATGCAAAGTGTTTTTTGTTTATTATTATTATTATTATTATTAACCCCTTAAGACCGGAGGGCGTACAATTACGCCCTATTTTAGACGGCTCTAAACACCGCCGGGCATAATTGTACGCCCTCCGGTCTTTCATTACTTACCCGGACCTCACAATCACATGGCCGGGTAGGCTGCCTCCTGCATTGCCAGCAGGGGGGGCTGCCTGTAATGACAGGTGGTCCCCCTGCTGGCTGAAAATAAAATAAATAAAAGTTAATCAGTGTAAAAAAAAAAAATCTGCATATACATACACACTCATATACTGTCTAGGTGTATTTTACTATTAATATATATATATATATATATATATATATTAATATCAAATTACAAGTAGACTGATACTGATTAAATATATATATAATTATTGTTTTATATATATATATATATATATATATATATAAATATAATATAAAAAATTAAATATGTAAATACGTTAAAAAATAAAATAAAAAATAATTAAAATAAATAAAAAATATATAGATGTGTGTTATTTCGTTCTAACTGTATTGTGATAATATATATATATATATATATATTTATATCAAAATACACGGAGAACGAAATAATATATATATACGTATATATCACTATATATATATACCTATATATAAATAGAAATATTTTAAAAAAATTATATATATATACACATAGATTCATATACGTATATATACATATATTAATTCTACATATATATTTATGTAATATTTTTACATAATTAGGTATCTTAATTAATTACAATTAGCAGGACCTGCATGACAACCCATGCCGAAAGTAAAGGGAATTTAATTTGCTAGCACTATATTTAACCCTATAACTTTCCAAGACACCATAAAACCTGTACATGGGGGATACTGTTCTACTCGGGAGACTTCGCTGAACACAAATATTAGTGTTTCAAAACAGTAAAGTGTATTACAACGATGATATCGCCAGTAAAAGTGACGTTTTTTGCATTTTTCATGCACAAACAGCACTTACACGGACGATATTATTGCTGTGATACTTTTTACTGTTTTGAAACACAAATATTTGTGTTCAGCGAAGTCTCCCGAGTACAACAGTACCCCTCATGTACAGGTTTTATGGTGTTTTCAAAAGTTACAGCGTCAAATATAAGGCTTGCGTTTCATTTTTTTCACATTAAAATTCGCCAGATTGGTTACGTTGCCTTTGAGACCCTATGGTAGCCCAAGAATGAAAATTACCCCTATGATGGCATACCATTTGCAATAGTAGACAACCCAAGGTATTGCAAACGGGGTATGTCCAGTCTTTTTTAGTAGCCACTTAGTCACAAACACTGGCCAAAATTGGCGTTTTTTGCATTTTTCAAACAAACAAATACTAACGCTAACTTTGGCCAGTGTTTGTGACCAAATGGCTACTAAAAAAGACTGGACATACCCCATTTGCAATACCTTGGGTTGTCTACTATTGCAAATGGTATGCCATTATGGGTGTAAATTTCTTTCCTGGGCTACTATAAAGTCCCAAAGGCAATGTAACCAATCTGGCGAATTTCAATTTTAAATGTAACGTGCTATAATTGACCCTGTAACTTCCCAAAACGCCATAAAACCTGTACATATGGGGTACTGTTTTACATGTGAGACTTTGCTGAATACAAATGTGTGTATTTTATTGCAGTAAAAGCAAACCGTATTATGACATTGACCGTTAAAATGTCATGTAGAACTAAAAAATAATTTAAAAAAAATTCTTATTTTCTCCCATTTTTTTCATATTAAATTATGTTTCATAGCTAAATATTTGATATTAAATGAAAGCCCTGTTTCCCCTGAATAAAATGATATATGATAAGGGTGGGTGCATTTAATATGAAAGAGGTGAATTTGGACGGTTGGACAGACATGTAGCGCAAATGCCAGGTTTTGTTTACATTTTGTTTCGTTCACAACGTGTACATTTGGCTCCGTCCTGAACGGGTTAATAATATGTATTAGGTTCAAGTTCCAAATAGTAAACGTTTTTTGTTTTTTTAAAGCTTGTCAGATCCCAAGTAAGGCTGTATATGTTGAGTTGGTTGAGGGAATACTTGTATAGGTATCTTATACAGATTGCAAAATTGTCAACAATGCAAATATTTGCCACAAAATGGTCAACAGAAAAAAAATATAAAGAAACCATATATTTACAATGCATTAAAGAGCTACCATCATGGGCACTCTGAACAGTCTGTGATGTATCGGGCTCCATAACTACAAAATGTGATGCACTGTGTGTTCTGACACCTTTCTATCATGGCCAGAATTATGTTTTTCAGCAATTTGAGCTACAGTAGTTTTTTTGTGTGATCAGACCAGAATTGCTGGCCTTTGTTTCCCCGTGTAAATCAATGAACCCTGATACCGGTTCACTGGTTGTCCTTTGTTGCATCACTTTTGGTATGTAATAACCAATTCATATGGAGAACATCTCACATTGGGATTGGCCCTTGCCGTTTTGGAGATGCTTTGACCCATTGTCTAGACATCACTATTTGCCCCTTGGCAAAGTCTTTATGCTTGCCCATTTTCCTGCTTCCAACACATGAAATTCAGTGACTGTTGTGACTGTTCACTTGCTGCCTAATATATCCCACCCCTTGACAGGTGCAAATTGGAATCTTTACTACGCATCCTAGACCACCTCCCCTTCCAAATATTCACATTTGTCCAGAATTTATAGATCCAAAGATAAAAAAAAAAAAAAGTCAGACCTAAAGAAAGACAGAATACATCCACTATTTCTTACACAGAACATGTTTCACTCTATCAGTCCCCCCATAGTGATAGAGGAAAGAAAGGAAAGGACACACCCTAATTGGCAATACCACATAAAGAAAATGGAGATCTTTATAAATTGTAATTATGACAAAATAATACCATATGAATAAGGCCTATAATATTTTAGGTTTTAATGTTGTGACTGATCAGTGTATGTGTCAGTGTTAAAGAAAGACAAAGGAAACCTGTTAATAGATTAGGTTATTCCATTATGCTAAGATTCCCTAGTGATAACATACCATTTCATCAACAGAAACCAAAGATACCGGCATGGTTTAATATATATTCTGCCTAAAATGAACTGAGACTACAATGAAAGCCCCCTCAATTTTCTTTTGTTTCTACTCCCGTGAGGGGAAGAGTTTCACTTTTGGGTATTAAATCGAGGAAGGCTATTAAAGGGACACTATAGTCACCAAAACACCTACAGCTTATTGCATTTGTTCTGATGAGTATAATCATTCTCTTCAGGCTTTTTGCTGTAAACACGGTCTTTTCAGCGAAAATGCAGTGTTTACATTACAGCCCATGGATAACTCCACTGGCCACTCCTCAGATGGCTACTAGAGGTGCTTCCTGGGGCCATTCAGTGTATCCATTCTCTGCATGGAGAAACTGAACTTTCCTCAAATAGATTAATTAATTCAATTAATCTCTATGAGGAGATGCTGATTGGCCAGGGCTGTGTTTGGCTCTGCCACTAATCTGCCTCGTTGACAGTCTCAGCCAATCTAATGTAAAAGCATTGTGATTGGCTTTTTATCAGGCAGATCGGGGGCAGAGCCAGCAGCAGCAGACTGCAGTAAAGGTAACATTTTGCTATATTTATGTGGCAAGGAAGGGCTAGATGGTAGTTTTAACACTAAAGGGTCAAGAACACAAACATACACAAAAATATCCCAAAGGAAGTCAAGCACGTTTTAAAAGATACAATGGGAAGGGATGTAGAGACGTCTTATGAAGATTCTGCACAGTAGTTTGTGAAGAGGCTGGATTGACTGGCAAAACTTTCAAAGCTTTTAATCTGACTTATGTGCATTTTATGGTGTACATGTCTTTTAAAGGTGTGAGTGCAAATAGATTTTTTATTAAATTCATTTTTTTTTAATATTACACTATTTTTTTTTATCTTATTGTACGCAAGTTATTCAAATCTTGTGGGCTGTCATCTGTATCATCATGCCGAGCTTCTAAGGTGGGACTTCCAAATAGAGCACCTTTTGTTCAAGATTTTATATACTCCCAAATAAAACATGCTAAAGAAATGATGCACACATATTCTTTGGGGTTTATATACTACATTATTTTAACGGTGTGTTCCTTTACCATAAAGAAAATACATTAATATGTGGATATTAGCTACTTTATGCCAAATAGGTTTGGTTGATGGTTGAAGTGGAACCATCATTTTTATAGTAATTACAATTGTGTAAACCTAGATTTATGTGGTGCTCCGTTTTCTTTTAAATTTATTTGAAAATATTTAGCAAATGACATCACAGTTCAGCTCAGGCATAGCCAGTGCACACTTGAAATAATTAAGAGGAACCAGACTATTACTTGATTTCTTCTATGTAGATTACCAATTGCAAAATGCAGCTTATAACAACGATTGACAAGGAGATAAGATGGAGGCGCCCAAGAGCAAGATAAGGAGATGCAGATTTCTACATTTACTTTTGTTATTCACTCCTCACTAATATAGGATTTGTTAAAGGACCACTATAGTGCCAGGAAAACAAACTCGTTTTCCTGGCACTATAGTGCCCTAAGGGGGCCCCCACCCTCAGGGTCCCACTCCCGCCGGGCTGAATGGGGAGGAAGGGGGTTAAACACTCGCCTTTCTCCAGCGCCGGGCTCCCTCGGCGCTGGGGACTCTCCTCCTCCTTCGGTTGTCAATGAGACAGCCACTAGAGGCTGGATTAACCCATATGTAAACATGGCAGTTTCTCTGAAACTGCTATGTTTACAGCAGGCAGGGTTAATCCTAGATGGAACTGGCACCCAGACCACTTCATTGAGCCGAAGTGGTCTGGGTGCCTATAGTGGTCCTTTAAATATAGCTGATAAGAAAACAATATTAAAAATCCTGGAAAGTGACAGTTCTGTATAAAGTGGAGCAGTCGTGTGAGAGAAGTATTTTAGAATCCTGCATATTAAAGTATCACATCTTACTGTAAAGATCATTTTAATAGCCTCCCAAAAAAGAACCGTTAGGGCATTATATAATGAATTTATCCTGTTACAATCCCACGGTGCATGTGATGCGAAACTGCCATCATTGATAACCTTTGATTACAGAGTATTCTACTCATCATTTCACTTACAAAGTGTCAAAAGTGTATATGGCTCTGTACAATGAGTTAAAGTATAGATCTATATATAATAATTTTAAAGATAAGTGGACATGATGTATCTATATACATAAATTAATCTCAGACATGTTTCTTTTCAAAACCCTTGCTACAGAGTTCTTTTTATTTAACAAAAACAGTGTAACAATTATTTCAAAACTGGGATGCATAGCTAGCACATAAACTTACCCCAAAAAACTCAAACTATGTGTGTAGATTTCTATTCAGATATACGTAAACAGTCAAAATTTTATCAATTCACACATTTTTTTCCAACAGGGTTTGAAAATAGAGGTAGAAATATAATTTTTTTTCACATCTACCATATGTGACAAAAAATATCAAGTGGACAAATATCATGTTCATGGGTATTTGTAGGGAAGTAATGAATAGCAGAGACTATTTGAGGGAATGCAACTTCCCAAAAAATGCCACTAAACTATAAAATAAATATATAATGTGTGGATTTAATTTCAAAATAGCAAGTAAAAGTTGCCTGCTAAAACCAGGCATTTGTCCAATACAAAGACAATAGCAGCAAGCTTTTGCACTTTTTTTGAAGGTTCTATATAGCTGATGTTGGTAAATAAGCAAAACATTCCATATCAGTTTACGATCTTTAATGGTTCAGATTGTTTTGCATAGACTAGGGGGTAATTTATAATATATATATATTTATATATATATTTTTATATATATAAATATAAAATATCTCCAGCTGTTCCTGAACAACACTCATTGAACCTCTTCCACCTGTTGCGGTTTTGGCTGTCAAAGGTTTGTGAGTTGCAGACTGTTAACAGCTGGCCATCCAGTGTTTGGCTATTTCTGACAAAGACCATCGTTGGTCATTAAGGGGCTTAAAAATTTTTTTTTAAAAAAAAGTTAATGCAAATATATTCAATAACTACTCAATACAAACTGACAAAATATGAACTGCACTTTTATTCAAATATCTATTCTTTGTCAGACTGTATACTGAAAAAGGCAGTCTTGCAAAATAATACATCTTTAAAATGCTTTATAATTTCAAACATTTTGGTGTTGTAATGACCTTGCTTGCATATGACAATTAAAGCCCCCTGAGCTGAAACAAAACAAAGCAATCGACAGAGAAACACAAATGTCATTTGAAAACCTGGCTCAAACTTATCTTCCCTATTGGATCCTTCGGACTACTCCAATAGTATTTTTTTTTTTTTAATACATTAAGGTCATAGCTATGATAATAAATAAACAGACCCGAATGTTGTTGTTTATACGGGCAGGTCTACCCATTTTAAAACTAGACAAGAGATTGTCTGAGGCAACTCTCGGGTATTTCATTTGGGAATTAGGAAGTTTATTTAAATGCTTTTCTCCAGTTTCTTAAAAGTTAGGTATAGTAGAATGTTCGGGAAATACCTTATTCGGCAGAAAAATGGTTTATGATTAGAGGGTCCTAGAACATGAACACTCACTCTCCCTGAGATCACTTAGTGAAATCCACATGACTTGATGAATTTGCACCTGTGTCCCTAAACTTTGTGATCTCATCACAGTTTTATGTTTAATTAAGGGAAAGGTGTGGTATGTTATGATATCCACCTACATCTACTGACAGACACATATCCATGAACACTATAACCACTGAACTAAGTTAATTGTTTATGTACACATATTAGTACATATCCTATATATATATATATATATACACACGACAACTGCAGCCAGACTTTGGTTAACCCTCAGTTCATTTAACGTTAAAGATGCAACAGTTATGATACCCAATTTAAAAAAACAAAACAAAAACCAAATCTCACGTGTATATTTAACACACAAGCTTGTGTGCGCACATCTTGAAAGACACCAACTGCAAGGCACAAAGAGATTTTTATATATACAGTACTTTAGCAGATCCAATTATTTAGCATTATGAAAGGAGGTACAACAGACATAAGTCAAAAATAATTATCTTGGTCCTCCCCCTGTATCCTGTTTTAATATTGCATCTCAAACAATTTCATAACCAAATCTTCTGGTAAACCAAGTCATACAAGTACTAAGGACACGATATACTTAGTATCTGTTATGTGAAATATTAGTGCAATTTACTACTTTCACATTTTCCTCATAGTTAAGGCTTCATCTAGTTGTGACAAGTAGTACCAACACATGAACACAGGGTAATACTAGTGCAGGAGATGTTAATTGTTCTCGGGCCTGAAATAGTATCTCACAGGTGGCCCGGGTAAGTCTTCATCCTGATCGATTTCCGGAGCAAAAGACACAGTCAGGTCAACGTATTTCTTATCAACTCCAGGCTTCACAAGTTTGTGCATCCTGTATGGAAAAAAAAAAATAAAGTAAAAAAATAAATATATATTGTACATATATTAAAAGGGATATTGTAGGCACAATAACCATTTCAACAGATTTAAGTGGTTATGGAGCCTTATTCCCATAGGTACAGGAATATGCATCACTGCTCACAGTTTAGCAGCAAATGCTCGGTCACGCATACATTTTTCTTGCCATCACATAAAGCCATGAGCTAAAGAATGTTCCACTGCTGATATACTCAAAAACATGTACACCTAAAGCAAATCATTTGCACACATATGGCGCACACATATATATATTTAAAAAAAAAAAAAAAAAAAAAACTTTTTCAGATGTCTAAAAAAGTTAAAGGGACACTCTACTGCAAACATTAAAAATAAATAACATCAGAAGATATAACCCAATGAAAATAATGCATAAATACATTTTGGCAGCATATCTAAAAACAGTCTGCAAAAGCTGCAGTTCTCTTATCTGCTGCCTTTGCAAGCCCTAATCTTCTAACCCCACCCAGACTTTCTGTTTCTGCAAGGCAGGTGCTCTAAGCACTCTTGAGTTTAGCTCCCCTGAGCTAACCAATCAGTAAGTCAAAGGACGGGTTGTTTGACAGCCAGGGGGTGTATTAAGGTTAATTTCTAGAAGCACTAATTTCTATTGAAATCTGCACTTTTTGTAAAATTTAAAAAACACCACACACTCTTCACACATAATGTACTTCAACAAGCTATAGTGCTTTAGGAGTCTGGGTATCAATTTAAAGGAACACTGAAAGCACCATAACCACTCTGACTGAGTGAAGTTGTTAGGGTGCCTGGATCCCTTGGGTGCCAGGTCCCACATCACTGCTTAAAGATCTACCCATGATTTAGCTTTTAGAGACGCTCAGTAGCAAATGCTCCAATTATGAAATGGCAGAAGTGGAGTTATGTTCTCCTTTATGTCATGCCAGTGGTAGTAGGCAGTGTTCTCAGCCAATCACTGCCTCAATCATGGGTATGAACTGGTATGATGCAAGGTGGAAGCATAGCTGCACCTCCGCCACATGGTTAATTAGAGGCCAGGCTTCTTGGGATCAGAAGCTCTCATCTCTCCGTTTAGCCACAGTGCAGAAAGGTGGCTGAGAGCAATCAGCTCGTTCTCCCCCTGCTCACATCTTCACCTACCGCAACATCAACAAAGGTTAAAATGACAGAACTCTTGCATCCAGACAAAGTGGTCTGAATGACTTCAGTGGTCCTTTAAACAATTAGCAATTCAAGAGGTAGGAAGGTAGGATGATGGGATCAAGTACTTACGTAAGTTTTAATCTTTTTGCATGTCCAGGCATAACAGGAACATATAACATTTTAACTCCTTGTACAACCATTGTTGGCTCTATACCATATTGTTCCTATAAAAATACAGAGCAGTATATAATGTAGCATTACAAGATTTTTAATAATCAACATGAACCACCAGGCATTTAAAAGTAAATTTTAAGTTCATCACAGAAAGAAATACTATTATGGCTTATATGTAAAGAATATCATTATATATTTAACAGTGTTAGCCAGTATTTAACAGTGATTAAACTTAAAGGTAAGGGCAGTTTAGTAGAATGGAGGGAGTGGGAGCCAGATTGAAGAGGGTTAAGGAGAGAGTTACTATTGAGAAAGTGAGTTAGATGGGTAACCACAACCCACTCAAGAAGCTTAGAAGAGAAGGGGAGTGGAAATTAGGGATGGTAGTTAGAATGAGAGATTTGGTCAAGAGATGGCTTTTTAAAGATATGATTGAAGATTGCTGGTTTGAAGGAAAAAGGGAAGATGCCAGTAGACAGAGAGAGGCTAGGGGTGGGACCAGACAAAGGGAAAGATTGGATAAGGTAAGAGTGGAGCAGATTATGAAAACATGTCGAGGGGTGGGAGGAATGGGGAACATTAGAAACCTCTTGCTCAGAGACAGGGGAAATGGTGTTGGTAGTGGAAGACAAGTAGTAGGACGGGAGATTGCATTTCTAATTTTGTTGATCGTGTTTGTAAAGTGACATGCAAAAATCAACAGCTGTGAGCTTTAGAAATAAACATAACATTTAGTTAGAATTGAAAGAAAGCCATCAATAAGGAAAAACAAAAGCCGAAATGAAAAAAAAAAAAAATATATATAAAAATATGTATTTCAGTCGTTTTTTTTTTTTTTTATTAAACTAAATACCACCCAGTTTACCCACTCTAATCACTGGGAAACGTAAAAACAAAAATCAATGAATGAAGACAGGAATTGCAGAAAATATTATCATATACTATTGCAAATTAATAAAGTATATTATTCTTACTTTGACAGCATTAATGAAATCAAGAAGAGTAAAATCTTCATTGCCATATATTGTCCATCTGTCCCAAATGGTAAATGAAATGCCATTCCTAGAACATAAAATACATATATTTATATAAATAAGAAATATGGAATATATAATACTTAAAACTGTAGCAAACAAAACCCAAAACAAAATAAAAGCCACTTTAGAACATTAAAGTTTCACTCCAAGCACTATGTTCACTTCGCTGTTTTGTCTGTGTATAAGCAGCACTTCACCAACTTTAACTCCTTTGCTGCCGGAGGTTTAACAAGAGTTCTTTTTGGGCTGGCTTATATCAATTCTGTGTGTATTGGACTTTTAACATCAGCACGCAAAGCAAAGGGATAGCAATTCACATACAGCAGTAATACATTTAGATTAAGAACAATAATGATATGCATTTTACTTCTTATGCCATTACTTAAATTATCTTAAAAATTATTTGTGAGCAAAAAACTATAAATTTTAATGCGAAATCATACTGCCATTATGAAGCCAAAAATAATCACGTTCCTTTGTAAGGTAAACCTGGAATTTACTTCAGTATGAGATTTTTGCCTACGGTTGTCAAAACAATGAAAGTAATGTATGAAAACTTGAACTTAATAAACTATAATCTTTTTCCAGCCTAGATATCCATTGCTGGGCACTGTGGGGCATTAGACAATTATACCAATATACAAACACAGTTGACCATTTTAATGCTGCTGATATCATTATCATATTGGTGCAATATCAAGACCACTTGGAGTCAAATTTTATTTTCCATACTGAATTTTGAATCCTCATATTAGACTGCTTAGTATATATTTTTTTTAGTTGGCAAAGCCCAGAAACAAACTTAATTACAAAATAAAACAATTACAGTAAAAAAAAAAAAGCCAAAACTATAAAAAAGTGCTTTGTTCTCTAATGACAGATCGTTTTCTTTATATTTCCAAAGGACAGTGAAGTACATTTCACATGTACCCAGCCATCAATGTTCATTGAAGGTGCATTGTAGCGTGTGCAAAAGACAATACCTTATTTGTGTCCTCCTTACTTCTGCAGTCTCTGTGAAAACAATTATTGGAATGGCTAGGTTGAAAAAGCAATTCTTATACGCTTCAAAAGGATGACCTCCAACCACCTTTATTAACTCCAGTGCAACCTGGTAATGTAGAGAACATAAAACAACAAAAATCAGCAATTAAACATACATACACATGCAACAGATCGAATACAGTTCCCCTACCCCTCCACATGTGCAGATAAAAACAAGTAATGTAGCAGAATATGATGACAAAACCAACAACCAATCAACCCTGTGTAAAGAAACGGCCAATCATCACAATGGGCAGAGTAAATTGACATTTACGCTCAGCCTGGCCATTACTAATAGTCTGAAAATGATATTAAAGGGACACTCCAGGCACCCAGACCACTTCTGCCCATTGGAGTGGTCTGAGTGCCAACTCCCACTACCCTTAACCCTGCAACTGTAATTAGTGCAGTTTTCATAAACTGCAATATTTACCTTGCAGGGTTAGGTCCTCCTCTAGTGGCTGTCTACTAGACAGCCACTAGAGGGCACTTCCGGGATTATAGCACAGATTTTCTGTGCTATAGTGTCGCTGGACGTCCTCACGCTATGTGAGGACCTCTAGCATCGCTAAAATCCCCATAGGGAAGCATTGAAAGCATTTTTCAATGCTTTCCTATGGAGAGGTCTAATGCGCGTGTGCAGCATTGCCGCACATGCGCATTAGGTCTCACCCCGCCGGATGACGTCGGCAGGGGAGGAGCGTGGGTGGATCCTGGACCAGCGCCGAGGGATATCGGCGCTGGATTCCGGTAAGTCACTGAAGGGGTTTAAACCCCTTCATCAACCTGGGATGGGGGGTGGGAGTGAGTGGGGACCTGCAGTACCAGGAAAACGGTTTGTTTTCCTGGCACTGGAGAATCCCTTTAAACAATAAATTGTTGACAGTATTCCTTAAAAATGGCAGACTAATCTAACACATCACAAATTATGTACACATACTTAAATCTCACTTTTATTAAACATTAAAATTGAAAAAAACAAAACAAAAGTTCAAGACCACAAGTAGAGAAGCACACATTAAGGGAAATATGACATTTGGGGGCTTAATTCCAATGTTGTTGGTAACATTTACTGACTAGCCATGCTAATGTGATTTAAACCTTGGCGAGTAGCAGACGCTTCTAAGCTGCACAATCGGACTATTTGCCACAGTAAATTACCACCTAACATTACTGTTAACGACTCCTCTAGAGTATAATGGGAGGCATTAACAGATCCTAATAGTCTGGTTAGCTTTGTTTCTAAAGCTTACAGGCTGCTTCTATCTGGATTAAATGTTAAACTGGTTTCTTCCTGTAATTATGACATAAAAACGAAGTTAACAGAGAGTTGACTGGCTCACACACAGAGCTTTTAACAATAATAAAAAAAAAATAAAGCACGGGGTCCCCTTGACCTCAATAACAGAGAGTTGCTAATATTTAACAATGGTCCAATAGACTGGGCATCTCCTGGGTACTTTATATAACATATCATGAGCCCAATAGGGAACAGAATATTTTCATTCATATATCTAAATAGGCATCTCCCTTTATTCAGTAATTCCTATGATTTAAATGGGTTATCAGAGAAGCTAACTAATTTACCTTTCAGAAGACATGCTCAGTAATGTGCATAGATAGACAGGTTGACTTGTAAGCCAACCAATCACAGAACACTCAAAGCATGGGCCCATACTATTTAACATAGAGAGCTTGTATAGAGTAAAGAATGGGGTAGGGCCCGGCCACTCAATGAGTGACCCTGTGCTTTTCTATGTTTCTGTGCCTTTCAGTGCTGCAGCACAAAGGGGGAGGGGGAGTGTTCTTTTCTTTTAATGTACGTTACTTTCTATGTTTGCGAAGGAGGAATTAAAGAAAGAGATAAGTAAATACTTGCCTCTGTGTCCTTTATAAAATCTGGATTTTTACATCATGTTAATAGCAAAATCTGGTAATTCTTCTACTCTCTGTGGTGGCATGAATAGGTTAACTTTGTACCAGCTGTAGTTGCTATGGTTATTTATTGCTACATTAATTATTTTCAGTTTCTGAATAATGATCATTACCAGTTGTGGTGCTGTATGCTAATCGTAAAATAAAATTAAAAAAAACAAGGTTGATGTGAAATGCGACGGTCCTATGTGGCTTTGAATATCTATTGTTAATATCAAGAGCAGATATTTAAAAGGACACTATAGGCATGCAGACCACTTCAGCTCATTGAAGTGGTCTTGATGCACTGTTCCAGGTGACAACCTTGCAAAGGTAATTATTGCGTGTGAAGAAAATGGACTTTTAATTGACATTTTCTTTTTTGTTCGGTATTTTCCTGTTTTACTACCTGTATATGGAATGTATTGGTTCGGTAGTTTGAAACTACCGAACGCCGACCACCCTCATGGCTCATTAACTACAAAGGAATCAGCTATTAAGTGCTCCCTGGGCGGCCGCTGTTCGTACAGCCGAACGCCACGTGGAACAAAAAACGGCGTCCATCTTGTTCACACGAGGGGAGTCAACGGGACTTGGTCGTCGAGTGTCTGGAACTAAAATCGGACACTCGACCTCGTGAACCACCGCTGAAACTACCGAACGCCGGCTTCTTGTGTTTCCAGAACAGCCAGGGAAGCACCTTTCGGTAGTTCTGTGCAAACGGACAAGGGGAGCAATCGCTACTATAAGCAAGGGGGATCCATTTGGGACTTTTGTTCGGTTTTTATCTATTTGTGAATTGACCGACCGCACACGCTGAATTCATGGAACGGTTTTGGGCAGGAGCCGCGTGTGTGGTCGGTAAAAGGGACCCTCCACACTTTTTCAGAACCCCTGAACCGATCTGGGTGAAATTTGGATATGTTTGTCCCCCAGATAGGGGCTATCAGGGGATATGTAATTTGTGGGGATAGCTTGTGGGGAAAGGGGTGTTCTGAGTTTTGGGGAAATTGTGTGCCTGGAGATAATTGATTTATTCCTTAACTTATCTTAATATCTCCCAGGCAGATAGGAGGCGTGTATTACTGTAAATCTGTGTGTTGATTGGCTGTTGTCTTTGTTTGCTGTGGGAGGTCCTCTTGCAGGAGGATTTCTCATAAAAGCCTGTGTGTGTCAATAAAATTAATTCCTGTTACTCCCTTCATGAAGTCTAGGCTCATGCTTGGGGATATTCTATTTGCTGGGAAGAATCACCTTGGAACTGCATTTCATCTACCTTATTCCTCTACTCCATGCTGCAGCTATAATCACTCATGCTCAGCTGTTGGGAAAGGGAACAGAAGACCGCAGCACCATAACCACTTTAAAAAAAACTGTAATAATTACTCCACCTATAGTAGATGTCTGGGACTTCCTGGTCGTTAGGCAACTTTTGGTCACCTGACGCTGGACGTCCTCACGCTATGCATGGGGAAGTTCAGCATCACCCAAAACCCCACAGGAAAGCTTTTGACGTGCATTAGGTCTCCCCAGCTGGCTGTCATCGATGGGGGAGGAACGGAGGTGAAGCCCAAGCCAACACAGCGGGACATTGGAGCTGGACTGAGTTAAGTGGCAGAAGGTTTTTTTTTTTGTTTGTTTTAAACTCCTTCTGCACCGTGGTTGAGGGCTACTATATGGACCTATAGTGCCAGGAAAACAACTGTGTTTCCTGGCACTATAGTTTCCTTTTGAAGACAAGGTTGAAAACAAGCTCTTAATGTACCAAGCTCTGGGATAGCACACATTTCAGTTTATTCAAAGAATTTAAAAGTGTGAATAAACCCATTAACAAGTTGTGCAAGGCGTCAGTGATTTTAAGACTTGATTGTCTAGTTATAAATGTCCAGGCAGGACTTAAAGGGACGTTACAGGTACCAGAACAACTTAATCTCTTTCAAGTGGTCTGGGTGAAATGCCACTGTCACTTAGCTCTGCAATGTAAAACACTGCAAAACACATCTCCATATCCCCATAGGAAAGCATTGGTATTACGAACGCTATAGTGCTCCTTTAATCATCTAGTTATACACTTGCATGTGGGTACTAACCAGTCCAGATACTGCAGCAGTGGCTGTTGCTATCGCAGGAATTATTTTCCCTGCAATACGCTTGGTTTTCAGTCTATCAGCCGGCTCAATGTTGTACATCTTTGCTCTCAAGTTGGAAGCTGCAGTGATAAAATTGATATGCTCGTTGCTGTCATCATCCTTTTCAAATGATAGGTAATTCATATGAAGGTCATCTGCCCATTGAAAAACATACAGTATGAGAAAAATGTTGAACACTATAAGCACAAACCATATTATCCACAAGATCATGACATGTCAAATATAGACCAGGAGCCTGCAGTTCAAAATATATATATTTCCCCCCCCCCCATTTTAGCCTTAAACTTGCATTTTTCTGGTCAATTCTCAATTTAATAATCCCATATAACTATAAGAAATACACCTATTGACTGTAAAAAATTACCTGGGGTCTCCCATCATTACAGCTGGAAGAGCAGAAAAGTCTTTGAGCTAAGTCTGGTGGTGCAGAGCTTTGCTCAGGTAGCAAACAGAAGCTCATGGACTCCGGTCTCTCTTGCAGCTTTAGTGGCAGAGGGGAGCGGCAACCAGCGATCCCAAGGTAAGAATGCAAACCGACTTGTTAATATGGAAAAGTGCCATACCACTCCTTTGCACCATAACCACTACAGTGTGTTATAGTGGTTATGGTGTTTAAATCACTTCTTAAACTTCATTTCATTCTGTCTGTTTCAAAAACCAGTTCCTAGTTTGTGAGTAACAGGAATCATAGGATTGTAGTTGCATGCCAACAGAACTTTGTGTTAAAGGACCACACGTAACCTCAAAATTATATTTTTAAAAGAACACTATATGGTCAGGAATACAAACATTTATTCCTGATCCTATAGCGTTAAAACCACCATTTAGGTCCGCCTGTAGGGAAAGCATTGGATTAGCAGAGATCACTAAGGATGCAGGGTGGGGGAGGGGCCAAAAGCCAGCCAGGCCAATCAGCATCTCCTCGTAAAGATGTACTGAACAAATACATCTCTATGAGAAAAGTTCAGCATCCCAATTCAAAGTGTGGAGACGCTGAACGGTAGAGCTGCACACTGTGCAGCACTGCCCCAGGAAGCTCCTGAAGTAGCCATCTGAGGAGTGGCAACTTGAGGTATCCCTAGGCTTTAAAGTAAACACTACCTTTTCTCTGAAAAGACAGTGTTTGCAACAAAATGCCTGCAGGGACACCAAAACAAATAAAATGAGCTGTGGTTGTTCTGGTGACTATAGTGTCCCTTTAATATAATACTATTTTCATTAAGTTTTGAATGGAAATAGATTTATTTTTATAGGAGCCATGTTAAAAAATATATAAATAAATAAATAAAAAAGAGAAAAGGTAAACATTTCCTTTAGTGTATGAAAGCATCCATCAGCCATATACATGCACTTTTCAGACAGTGTTTTAAAACAGTTACACTATGTTTTTACGCAGAGAGTGAACAGTGCAACCCAGTCATATACTAAAGTAAGTGATTAGTTACTCTTTCTCCTTTCAAAACGTGATAAAAAGATTCTTGTTCTAAAAATATGTTTTAAAGTGACAGTTGTCCTTTAAATGCTGTACCGCCAAAGAGACTAAACTCAAAGGGACACTTTACTACCCAATACAGAATAAATAAAAATCACTGCTTAGTAGATAAACCCCAAATGATAACTTGCATGCATTTAGTTATGCATTTGTTGTTGGAATTCTGTCTAAAAACAGATTCCTTGCCTGCTGCTTTTGCAAACCCACCCCTTCTAACTACAACCAGACTTACTATGGCTGTGCAATCACAGACTTCACAATGCATCTCAATAAGTAGTTTTTGCAAGTCAAGTGTTGTGGGCAATAGCTGCCTTTTGAGTTCAGTGCAACTAAGCGAACCAAACCAGGAAATAACAGGACCTGTTGTCTGCGTATAAAGCTAAGGGTGCAACCAGTATAATTTATGAACCTGTCAATTTGTAAAGGAATCAGCACTTTTTCCAAAATGAAAAAACATAGGACACACTTAATACATATAGCTTTTCAGCAAGCGAGAATGCTTTAGGGGTCTGGAGTGTTGCTTTAAAGGGACACTCCAGTTCCACAAAGCACTTCAGTTTGTGTGTACAGAGTCTGTCCTCTTTATTTTCATTTGACAAAAAGTGCAGATTTAAATAGAAATTGGCACTTTTATAAATTAACCTTGTTACACCTCCTTGGCTGTCAGATAACTGGTCTGGTACTTCCTGGCTTGGTTAGCTTAGTGGAGCTAAACTCAAGAGGCAGCTATTGCCCACAGCACTTGCCTTGCAAAGACTACTCATTGAACTGCATTGGGAAGTCTGTGATTGGACAGCCACAGAAAGTCTGGGCGGGGTTAGAAGGGGAGGGTATGAAAATTCTGCAGCTTTGGCAAATTTCTTTTCAGATATACCCACAATGACAAAATGTATAATAGAATGCATATGTATTTTCATTGGGTGTATCTATTAAACAGTGATTTTTATTTAATTTTGGGAAGTGGAGTGCAACTTTAAACACTTCATGAGAAGACATGACGCAACTGAGAAAAAAACATTGCAATTAAATTGTAAACACGGCTTATTAGAGAATTGATTTGGAGATAACAGTGCATTGGGATGTGTAGAAATGATGTGTGTGTGGCTGGTACTTACGTTTAGTCACATGGCCAGCAGATATCACACCCTCCAACTGAAGAAGGGCAATCCTTTCATCCTCACTGCTCACTGGGATTTGATCAGGTTTCTTCACAGTTTCATCAGTTTCTACAAGCTGGAAGGTAAAAACTAAATCTTAAGTCAAATTAACAGAGGCTATTAACAGCGCTAAGGAAAATGGGATGCAGAGTTTCAGATTATTATTTGTATTTATTCTAAAGCATGGTATAATGAGCATAACAGTTAAAAAAAGCAATTTACTATACCAGATACATGTATAAAACTTACCTTTTATTAATTAAATATAAGAAAAAGATATCACATATAAACATACAAAAAAAATTATACCTGCTCAATGAGCTAGGATACGATCGAATCAACCACACTTAAAAGAGAGAGACGTCAGATAATGACAAAGTGATTAGCAAAATGAGTGAGTGAATACCGCCCTTATCACTCTATCACTAAGTAATTATCAATTAAGTAAATACCATCCCTATCTGATAGCAGCTCATCCAGCTTACTTCCCACTCTATGTCAATTAGTATTGAACATACAGCAGCCATGTCAAACACGCGGCCCTCAACTAATATTTACGTGGCCCACGGCGCTGGAACACTGAGTGTAAGCTCTCCCTGCTCAGCTCCTCGCAGTGATGTCGGGAGCTGGAATATGAAGTCACTTCTGCTCCCGGCATCACTGAGGTGCAAAGGGGGAGCTTCACTGCGCGCTCCCTCTCTGCCTGTCCGCCCCCTGCCTGCCCACTAGACCCCAGGTAAGAAACCAACCCAATGTGTGTGGCCGTGTGGGCGCATGGCCGGCTGTCTGGCTGTACAGGCGCACGGCTGCCTGGCTGCCTGGCTGTACAGCTGCCTGCGTGCAAGGCTGTCTGCGTGTCTGCATGCAAGGCTGTCTGCGTGTGTGTCTGTGTGATTCTGTGTGTATGGGTGTGTCTCAGTGAGTGTGTGTGAGGGTTTCAAGGAGTACCAGGGAAATCCACTTTTTTAAGGTGCTGATGGGGCCATTGAGTATATGCTTGTTGGCTAAAAAAAACAAAAACATTTTAAACATGGGCAGGGGTTTAGTAGACGGGGGGGGGGACTGGGATATAGTAGACGAGGGGACTGGGATATAGTAGACGAGGGGGGGGCTGGAGTTTAGTAGAGGGGGTGAAAATTAAAGGGGGTTTTTTTGCGGCCCACGTAAACTTAAACCTTATTTATTTGGCCCTTGCTAGCCTTTGAGTTTTACATGCTTGAGTGATAAGGACAGTAATCACTAATCCATTTTGTTTATTACTTTAGAGATTGAGTTTATCATTATCTGACACCTCTCTTTTTAGTGTGGTTGATTTGATCGTATTCTAGCTCATTGAGCTGGTATAGATTATTATTTTGTATGTTTATATGTTGTGATATCTTTTTCTAAAGTTTCATACATGTATCTGGTATAGTAAATTGCTTTTTCTTATTGTTATACTTTTGTCCATTAGGGTTATCCCCTTTTTACTCTCCAGCAATTTACACTATTAGGCTCCTCACTCGTACTTTTGGTATAATGAGCACAAACAATTAAATGACAGCAAAGGACAAAAGAACAACCACTTGGTACTGCTGTAGTGATCAATGTGTAAGTTCACTTGCCATCAATGCAAACTTTTAAGATGGATCCTGCACTATGTCAATCTACCTGGTTTTAAGAACAAAGTCAAAATCTACAGATAGAGATATTATTTTTTATAAAACCCTACAGACTGTAACCTTGACACATGCAGTTAAGATGGCTGCACTGTAACAAGACTAATACAAAAGAAGTTAAAAATACAAGTACAGGACGATGAAAGGTTGTCATACCAGTTATTTACTCGTTACTGTTATACTTCGCTGAACACAAATTAGGGTTTCAAAACCGTAAAACGTATCACAACAATTATATCATCAGTGTAAGTGCCGTTTGTGTGTGAAAAATGCAAAAACGTCACTTTCAATGGCGATATCATAGTTGTAATACATTTTACTGTTTTGAAACACTAATATTTGTGTTCAGCACAGTCTCCCAAGTAAAACAGTACTCCCCATATACAAGTTTTATGGTGTCTTGGAAAGTTACAGGGTTAAATGTAGTGCTAGCAAATTAAACTCTCTGGACTTTCTGCCTGGGTTGTCATACAAGTCCCGCAAATTGTAATTAATTAAATGACCTAATTATGTCAAAATAGTGCATAAATATATACGTAGAAGTAAAATATATATAACTTTTTATATATATATTTCATTAAAATACACTTAGTGTATGTATGTGTAAATATATATATATATATATATATATATATATATATATATATTTTTTTTAAATGTGTTTAAACTTTATTTCATGCAGCAGGGGGACTGCCTGTCATTCCAGGCACTCCCCCTGCTGGCACTGCTATGGACAGCTATTCCGTCCATATGATCGTGAGGTCTTTGCAAGGACCTCGCTATCACATTTGGCACTTGCTAGCCTTTGAGTTTTACATGCTTGACGTACAGGGTAGCATTAAAGGAGCACTATAGGGTCAGGAACACAAACATGCATTCCTGACCCTATAGGGTTTAAAACCACCATCTAGCCCCCCTTGCCTCCCTAATTATAGTAAAATCTTACTTCTATTCAAGTCTGGAGCTGCAAGCTTTGTCCCGGTTTCCTTTAGACCTGCCCACTGCCTGCTGACATCATCATAAGTGGTAGCCTGATCCAATCACAATGCTTCCCCATAGGATTGGCGGAGACTGACAAAGAGGCAGATCAGGGGCAGAGCCAGCACAATTCAAACACAGCCCTGGCCAATCAGCATCTCCTCATAGAGATTAATTGAATCAATTAATCTCTATGAGGAAAGTTCAGTGTCTGCATGCAGAGGGTGGAGACACTGAATGTTTGGATGCATTTTAGGCAGCCACGAGGCGTGGCCAGTGAAGTTATCACTAGGCTGTAATGTAAACACAGCACTTTCTCTGAAAAGACAGTGTTTACAGCAAAAAACCTAAAGGGAATGATTCTACTCAGGTAAGTCCCCCCATCGCGATCGCCAGCGTGGGATCGCTGGAAAGCAGGTAAGTGAATAGGACGGCAGGGACGTACTATGCCGCCCGCCGGCGTTTAGAGCTGGGTCCCCAAGGACGGCATACCCGCCATCCTTAAAGGACCACTATAGTGCCAGGAAAACATACTCGTTTCCCTCAGGGTCCCACTCCCGCCCGGCTCTGGAAGGGGGAAAGGGGTAAAAACTTACCTTTTTCCAGTGCTGGGCGGGGAGCTCTCCTCCTCCGTTCCTCCCCGTCGGCTGGCTGCGCGCGCATTCAGCCGGTCGCATAGGAAAGCATTTACAATGCTTTCCTATGGACGCTGGCGTGCTCTCACTGTGAAAATCACAGTGAGAAGCACGCAAGCGCCTCTAGCGGCTGTCAATGAGACAGCCGCTAGAGGCTTTGGGGGAAGGCTTAACCCATTCGTAAACATAGCAGTTTCTCTGAAACTGCTATGTTTATAAAAGAATGGGTTAATCCTAGCTGGACCTGGCACCCAGACCACTTCATTAAGCTGAAGTGGTCTGGGTGCCTAAAGTGGTCCTTTAAGGGGTTAATGTTCAGAAAACAGAGAGGGCAATAAGAACTGTTAAAGTAAACACACTGCTGTAAAAATAAAACACATTATCATGGATATTTTGGTGCCAAGATATCCCTTTAAAGCTGAAAGAGACTTAAAAAAACAAACAAAATAGATTAAATCAATTACATATGTACATACTTTGTTTGATGGTATAAATTCAACAATGTCCATTGAAGATAATATTTTCAAGATGGTGTCGTGGGCCAAGTCCTGTCAATGTAAAACATTAAAGGGAGTAATAAGTTAAAACATTCTAACGTTCATAGTCTAGAACAGTGTTGTCCAGTGCTTCAATAATCTTGATGTTTGAGTTCAATTCTTTATTTTAATCAGTGTTTTAATACAATAGAATGTTTGACAAGTTGCAATCAAGCAGAGACATTTAAGTAGACAGCACTGGTATCATAGATCCATATTATTGTTAGATTTTCTAATAACAGAAATGTATATGGCCCGCAAGAAAGCCAGTGGTAGCATGTACTCCTTGCAATTAATTCCCAAGAGAACTCTTTTCTCCTCGTCCCCTCTCTCGGTCTTTCTCCTCTTCTAGCTCTTCTGGCTAACTTTCTCCTGTCATTTTTTTCACCTTCTCCTTCTTGTATATATTTCCCACCCTGTTTGTTTGTTCACTCCCCTGACCCCTTACCCCCACAATTGACTGATAGTTTGTAGCTCCTAAAGGCAAAATATCTCTACAGAGACAAAGGGCTTCCCCTGGGTCTTTTTTCTTACATTTACACTGCACCCAGCCCCGTGAGGGCTTCAGCATCATTAGGAGTATCCAGTACCATCTCTTACCTCCTGTCCCAATCTTCCCCGCGCCCCTGTTTCTGCATCTGGTGTTTTTAAAACAAGCATAGGGCAGGAATGGATAGTGACAAGTACATGATTCTTCGAGATCACATAGAAGCAAGTGAGGAGTTTGTTGATATATTACAACTGTACATCTGTCTATGTCGGGTATTTTCCTTTGGGAATTTTAAAGTTATGTACTTGACTCCACTTGTACTTATGTTATCACATTTCAAATACAAAAGTAAATTATTGTGTTTATGCACATGCCTGCTCTGTTTGTTTGCTTTCCCTATTTGCACTAAGCTGTGTCAAGATCAATAAAGAAAAACATTTTTTTTGAAGGGAAAGTTCAAAAGTATTGCTTTTTAGACTGCCTGTAATGTGGCATGTATACAACTCAAAAACATTTTTAAACTACAATATTTTAATACTTGATTTAATCATTTTGTAAACAACTGCTGGAGAAAAATTAATGCTTCTCTCACTACATTATGGTAAAATAATTTTTTTTATTTTATCAATTTAATGCCAGAATTTTCCTTCAATGATTAGTCACAGCTTGGCAATTCCAGCTTAATATTTGCAAACCGCAATTATTTGTGGATTTTTCACTAAAGGCCTAAAAACAGAGCATTTAGCACTTTGTGGGTTGGGATTTTAGGTGGTATCTAAATCTTATCAGATTCTAAATCATACAGTGGTAGATAAGCCAGCAGAATAAGTTTAAAAAATGAAAGGGAAAAAACAAACCAAGCCTTTTTTCAAATTTTTACTCTGATTGTAAAAACCCCTGTGCAACCAATCCAATGTGCTTTTATGCCCATCCATTTCTCCCTTGCTGCATTTTTCCTGTGTTGCTTAAAGGACCACTATAGTGCCAGGAAAACATACTCGTTTTCCTGGCACTATAGTGCCCTGAGGGTGCCCCCAGCCTGAGGGACCCCCTCCCGCCCGGCTCTGGAAGGGGGAAAGGGGTAAAAACTTACCTTTTTCCACTGCTGGACGGGGAGCTCAATCCTCCGACCCTCCGCTTCTCCTCCCCATCGGCTGAATGCGCACGCGCGGCAAGAGCTGCGCGCGCATTCAGCCGGTCACATAGGAAAGCATTCATAATGCTTTCCTATGGACGCTGGCGTGCTCTCACTGTGAAAAATCACAGTGAGAAGCACGCAAGCGCCTCTAGTGGCTGTCAATGAGACAGCCACTAGAGGAAATAGGGGAAGGCTTAACCCATTAATAAACATAGCAGTTTCTCTGAAACTGCTATGTTTATGAAAAAATGGGTTAACCCTAGAAGGACCTGGCACCCAGACCACTTCCTTAAGCTGAAGTGGTCTGGGTGCCTAGACTGGTCCTTAAAGAGAAGACTCCAATCACCATAAGCATGTATGCTTACTGAATATGTTATGGTGGAAATAGTTCCCTTGTCCCTGTCTCTCCGCACGAGCATTTACATATACCGGATCTGATGAAGAATATGAGAGTATTCTATAATTCAGACCTAGCAGTGGTGAGGGAAGAAATTACAGCATGCATCCTCTATGCATCTTCTATGCCACTGTCTACTGGCAGGTGTACCCAGGGATGTGCTGGTCCACTTCTCGTCGTTCAGAGAAAAGAAGCTGGTGATGGAGGCACTGTGGACGCAGTCATCTCTACAATTTGAGTCCTCAAACCTCACGTTTTACCAAAACCTATGCCGGTGGACACTGGAATGGCACCGATCCCATCAACCTGTCACAAGGAAACTCAGAAGCTAATATTCTGTATCGCAGGGAGCCAGTTAACTCTCTTTCAGCCACTAAGGCAAGCAACATGTTGAAACTTATCCCTTTGGCTAATTCAGCTTTGTTTCGGCAGTCCTTGGGCCTATGACGCCACAATACGGGATATTTCTGCAATAATGGGATGTTTTTGCAATAACCCCTTTTATTGCTCGATTTGTCATTGGATACAGGATGAGCTGACATACAGACAGGGCATAGTTTGCTACTGTTCTTTTATTTTTAAATTTTTTTCTTAAGTGTTCTCAATAGTGGACTATATGTTGCCATTTATCTCCAAGTTTTCTTTAACATAATGCTAGGTTAGCATTTTGCATATTTTTATTCTGATGCGCTGTGGTGGATGCCTCCCACCAGCTCAGTGTTAAGGAGCGTTGCCACCAACCTATTCTACAGCAGACACATCTTCTCTATGTATATTAAATGTATCCCAAGTTGTTGTGTTTTTACTTTTTACCCCCTAATTTTAATTTTCTTTAATTGCTGAATATGCTTTATACTAGATTGCATTATTTAATTTAAATTAGGACACTGTTTGTATACTATGATCTTCAAGTGCTGTAATTGTCTTATGTATGCATGTATGTATATGTAATTCTATGTTTTGTAACAAAGCTTAGGACCTCCATAATATATTTATACAGTTGATGTGAGATTTTAGATGCCGCCTTTCCATTAATCCCAGAGATAAAAAGTATATGGTTTTATGCCAACACTTACTGTTTCCATGAAAGAGATGGCATGCACTTCAGCAAACAGCTTTGCAGCACTTATTATGAAGCTGAGATGTCTGGAAACAAAACAAATGTATTAGTCACTGTATTAATCACTTTTAAAGAACATGAACCTCAAATGCAGAACTTGTTTTTGTTCTACGCAGGATTCCACCATGTGCATTCTAAGAGGTATTCAGTTTTTGTAATGTACACCTTTCTGGCACTCACCACATCTCCCAAAAGTAATAATTAGTATGTCAAAAAATAATTTTAAATGCCAGCTGATAATCTAAAAGTGCTAAAATAATTATGCATGTAAGATTAAACTGTTAAAATAAAAAGAAAGAATACTGAATTATGAGCAAGACAGCATTCCCTCATTAATGTTTGCATAATACCAACAGAGAGATAAAAGTTATCGAAGAGTCACTAACAAAAAATTGGGGCAAACTTCCAAATGTGACGCAAATCACCATGAATATTAAAAGTAGAATTTTTTTTCTAGTTTCCATGGTTGTTCCTCCACGTTTAAAACTGTTCAACATTTTTATATCCGAGACTAGAGCCTTATAACACAGGGGAAGACTTACAAATGTGATGCCAATTTTTTTTCAGGACAACCATATCAATACGTTTATCTGACAAATAAATATACAAATTATAATAAAAATATACTTACAATGGATCTTTTGCATCAAACACTATAGGGGTCGGTGGCCTCTTTGGTGATTGCCAAAACAAGCCTGTAAAACATTATTAATATTATAAACACACGAAAATATAATAAAATCTATAATCAAGACCCTCCCACAACTAAAAAAATAAATAAATAACATTCTAATTTGCAGGCACTCTGATTCTCTTAATACTAATGAAACTAGAATAATAGTGAGGATGTTTTTATGGGCTATTAAAAGACTGGAGAGATCAGCTAAAAATAATCAGCAATCTAACAATCATGATTTATGGACCCATCCTTTCACAATGAGCAGAGTTAGGATTTCTTCTATCAATTAAATACAGTAAGTCACTTTACGTTACTGTACTACACCTATAGGTTTCACTTTGATGCACACAAGGAGTCCCGTGCAGAGAAAAAAAATGTTAATATGTAAAACAGTTCATGTTCATTTATCTTCAGTCTAAAAGCAAACATCCATCAGCTTTTTAATCCAGGGAGATTCCAAATAAGTGCTATTTAGTGCAAAGGGATCATAAACTTTCTTGTAGATTATGGTAAGTGCTCCTTGATAATTATTTAGAATAACCAGAGAAAACAATAAGCAAACCTTTTACATATTCCAGTCGTTCTGAACAAAATCCATGATAAACATTTGTAACATAGTACGTAACTGGAATGGCTGCTCCCACATCTCACAGAGCAAGGTTAAAAAGTTAACATTATGGTATTAGATGTTGGTAAGGGTGCTATTGGGAATGGACATTATGCTAGAGGGGTCCTAGAAGATTTGCGCCTCCGGCATCCCTCAGCTTTTCTCCTAATGTGGAGGAGCTGGAAAAAACGCTTTCCTTGCTCCTTCGTTGCCTGCAGACATGAATATGGGCACTAGATAGGACATCATTACGCTAGGTGGAAGAATTCATGCTCTTTAAAATTCTAGATAAATCAAACCTCCCCCAAAAAAGCTTTGCAGAAAGTATGGAGGACACATGCTATGGTACATGGTCCTCAGAAAGACATCGGGCTTCACTGCTGAGCTTTGTTAATTCCAATTTCCAACAATTATGTATTGGAAAGTCTCTACTTAACTTAGACTTTGTTACCCATATTCCTCACACAATAATAAGTCTGATATTGCAGCTGGATTACAACACCCTCCTATGCAACTAGATGCACACAATTCATTCGGATTAAGCAACAAAGTTAAAGGTCTGTTAAATTGCACTCACTTCCATCTTTTAATCGTGTGTCCAGAGGAAACGAATGTAGAAGCTGCTGAGCCTAGAACAACAAAACAGGGAAACATTGAACATCTTCAATAGACACATCACAGCAAACCAAGTGAATGCTGAGCTCGTCACAGCAGAGCTCTCTTTACCTATTGTCTCTGTTAATTTTGGTATGTCAAACATCCTCTTTCTATAATTGTACAGGGCTGCAGAATATGCTGGCGCTTCATAAATGCCAATCACTATTTTTTCTATGACAATGCAGCACATGTGAAAATTAAACAGTAAGAAAACAAGTGGTTTTTTTCTTAAAGTGCTTATTTATCGTTACTTTTGTTTTTATAAATAATGAGATGTGAATACATCCTCACTAGAAGTTTACTAGTAGTTGATGCTCCTGCTGCTTTCTTGGGCAGCTGCACATAGCACTGCGAGGGTTAATTTTGTTTACACAATTTTCCCTGGCTTTTTTCCCCAAGAATGACAGGCATGCCATGCATATATAAAAAAAAAAATACAAATAAAAATGAAGGCCGATGAGAATAGAATTTACAAACATAAAAGCACAAACTATACCAAACTTTGAGGTAACTGCCTGGTTGTGCAAAAATGTCAGTAGTGATAGTTCCACTTGAATTGGTCACCCTAAGCACAATCAACTTTGCATGATTGCAAAAGTGAAGGTGCAAATAATCCTGTGCCTACTTACAGCTCTGAGATTGGCTTACAAGTGCAGAGATTTGTTAAAATGTTTGCAGCTCTAACAGACCCTCTGAGCGGTCCTATAGGCAGCCAGAATGCTTTGTTTCGGCTGTCAAATGTCAAATCTGTCCATTATGGACGAGAATGGCCAGAATATGAGACTCTCGATTGAAGATCTCTTCGGTTAGACAGAGAGTAGTCTTTTTGTAGCTAAAGGCAGAACATTGCTTGAACAAGGTATTTTAAAAAGGTATGCTTCCTTTTTATTAATGTAACTAACGTTTTTATGCATTGTCTATATAATGCATTAAATAGGGAGTAATTCCCCTCTAACTACAATGTTTACTGCTTATCTGTGTACCCAATGCATGTCTATGATAATTTTACACATTTTGCTGTAAATGTTTCATTTTTATTTCACTGTAAACACTTATTTATGTTGATACATGTGCAATAATAAAAACAATGTATTTCGTATCATAATCAGAATTAACACAAATACTTTTACGTGAAAAGATGAAAATAACAAAATAACATGAAATCAGCTTTTCCTAGGGCAGGTGGTTTTCTTTCTATCTAATTTGCTGTCAGACATCTTTGTGGTGTATTATTGCTTAAATTCCAATCCAAACACTTACTTTAGTTCAGCTTGCTAGCATTCTTTAGTTTATAACAGTGTTCCCTCCTTGTCACTTTATAAAAATTCTAATTTCGGACAAAGCAAAATCTTCACTTTTATAAACTGAAATGGACGATAAGGAAGGCTTTCTGTCCTCCCCAGATACAGATGAACGGTAGATTGAGAGCATGTGCAGTTCACGGTTCTACTGGAACTGGGCTGTGCATATACTATGTGATGATTCAAACTGATCTTTACGGATAAGTTAAATCTCCCAAAATCCACAGCTGAACAGGAAATTATGGGATATGATCTTTACCCATTGACTAGAATGAGATGCACCAATGGAAACTTGGCAATTAATTTCTTTAATTGGCAATTTATTTTTAAATGCATTTTCAAACTTTAAGCAGACAATTCAATTCAAACAGCTTATATCAAAAAGGAAAGTCCTACTCATTTATCACTGACAGGGCTGTGTAGAGCTGCAAATGCAAAATAAGTAGGACAATCCATACTACAGTAGGGTCTTTAGAGATCATACGGCAATCCTTAAATGGTTAACAGTTATAAATATAAGAAAATGCTGATTTAGCTACTTTGCATATATAATCTGACTAGGTTATGCAGTGTTGGACTGTTGAGTAACAGTAGGGCCTTTTAGTGCAGCAGCAAGATCATGCAGTCGGCAGGGCTACACAATATGCCAAAAATTTTTTTTTTTTTATTCTTTATTTTTGCGCCCGATAGGCAATGCAAGAACATATCAACATGAAGGCTTGCGCAGAAGCCGGAATATATTAAAGCATATTCATAGACATCACTGTTAACTTTGGCCTCCGTGGCCCGCCTCTTTACATTTTCTATATAATTTGCCTCCCATCGGGGATTTTATGTTTTTATTGGCTGTTACACTTAACTTCCCAGTGTTCATACGGTATTCATAGTGTGAGCAGTGCGCCTGTGAGGCCCGTATAGGGGCCTGTACGTTAGTGTTCTACCTTGGAGAATTGGAGTGGGTTCTGGTCCCGGAGACAGGCCTCTCAATGGGTGCTATTCTACTGACCTCTTGTTATTGGTAATGTATCATTAAGTCTGATCCTGCCTCCTGAGGGTGAGCCCTAACTCTAGCCGCGTCTGGGTGTACTTTAGACATCTTCCATCCTCCGTTAGCGCGCTCACGTCTAAATGAGGGAAGTTAGTTATGTCTCCTTGGAGTGGGACAATGTCAGCCTTATAGAAGTTAAGAATTAGTAGAAAAGAAAAGAAAAAAAAAAGATAGAGGGTATCCTTGTGGGCCAAGGTTTCTGTACCAAGAAGTAGAGAACGTGGGAAGGATAGATTTAGAGAGAGAGGAGAAGATGAGATGAGCAAGAAGGGTAGAGAAGAGGAAGGAAGATATGAGTGTGTGGGGTGGGGGGGAGGGGGGGGATGGGGGAGGAGAGGGAGGGGGGAGGCGGACGAGGTTGGGGCACTTCACTCCTGCTCTGACCCAGCAGTGTCTGGTCCCGAATTGGGCTGTCCACTTGGCCCTTCAGTCATGATCCGAGCCCATGGGACTGTTGTCCCATGGTTCCCAAACCTTCTGGATGCCAAAATTTTTAAATGTCCCCATATTATGAGCATGCATTATAACATTGCGTATACGAACCTTATGACTGAAATATTTTTCAAACTTTAGTCTTGCAAGCTCCACACAATGTGACCAGTTTCTAGGTTTCCGGCTTAGTAACTTAACAACATGAAAGCAACCTTCTAAGCTATCACCAGACGTTATTCTCTGTAAAGAAAGAAAATAAAAAAATAAATAAATGGCACATAAAAACAATGGGAGAATGACAATAACAATGAAAATGTTGTCCACCCTGGATGGTGGAGATTGGCTGAGAGTGCGAGGGGGGAGAGGTGTGGATCAGCCAGGAATGGCAGAATTTACATTGATAATGTGTCTGAGGAGGAAATATTTTCTGGATATCAGGGAGAGCAACGTTTTGTTTTGTGTCCTATCTCGTCTAAAATGTTTCACATTAACCAAGGAGATTATGGACTTAAAAAAAAACTTATGATGACTGGAGTACCCTGTCCCTGTTCCCCGCTAATTGGGGCAAACCCATTAGCAATGATTTGCCTTTTGTGATAGAATTTATCTTGATTCCAAGGCTCACGCTTATAGGGGTCATATAATGATATCCTATATTAAAATTGGCTAATTTGGACTCGAGAAATGCTTGATGCTTAAAACGACACTTAAGACCATATATGTCTAGTTCCGGGAGCAGATAGCCCCCACCTGAGATGTCTTCTCAAATCATTCTGTTCTCTCTCTTTCTCTGAACTTATTTGTTGTATGTACATGACGTTCATCCCTAGGTCTTATCTGTAACTCCTTTTACCCTTTCACTCCCTTCCTACTACTCTCCTATTAGTATTTGCATGTAAGCACTTACTTTTTAATGTATAAAAACCCAGCTGACAAATAAACGACAGAGGCTTATTTTGATAACTAACATGCGTCTGGTGTCTAATTCACGCTTCTCCAAGTGCACTTGTTATAATAATTTGTGCTTCCTCACAATATAACAAAGATCAATATTTTGATCTAGATCACCTTTTACCAGAGGCTCACCGGGCTCCTATTTACAACATTCACCTTCTGCAGAGCTGCTGAAGCCAGGTGCTGGTAGAGCATCACCTGACCACTTCCCGTCTATAACTGCTATTCTGTGCATGGAAAGTTGCATAGTATTTGCATTAGCCAACTGGAACTCTAATTCTGAGCTGCCCAACAACACCCCAGCAACTGTTGTAGGTGGAATTACAACTCCGGCATCAGAGGGGTAATCTCTGTATGTGCAGTGTTTCATGGTTAAACTCTGCACATATAGAGCCAGGCACCATTAGCACTTTCAATCCCTGACATGGTCATGGTTTCTTGTTTAACCTTTTAATGGTCTGCCACTTATATGCAATTAAGTCCCAATTCTGCACACTGTAGAGGTGAAACTACAAAACTGTTGTGATTATTTGATGGGGCTCCCCCAATCTGTACAATTTTTCTCAATCAAGAAGATGGCTTTTTACTAATCTAATAGGGGAAAAGCTTTGGTTACAATATAAAGGATGTGGATCTCTTTCAGCAATCAAGGCAATAGTAAGGCATGTACTGCACAATTCTTAATATAACAAATCAAGATACAGGGTAGGTCTTTTTGTACAATTTACATCCTTTTCCTTTTATGCAATCTATTTTTGTGGGCTTTCAGCTTACTGTATTTATTCATTATAATAGTATAAAATGTTTTACTTAAAACAAATAAAACTTAAAACCAACATGTATTCTTCATTGGTTGAACAGGTCCATAAAAGATATTCATATAAAAATAAACAAGAAAACCTAATGAATTAATCGTGCAAAATCCAGCAATACCTTAAAAGCTAGATATTAAGAGTAGAGAATGTTCCTTCATATTGCGAATATAGGGATTGGTGACCCATTATCCAGCACTAAGTTTTATTCAGTATTTATTTAGTTTGGCATCTGATAAAATAGTATAGGGTGTCCCACAATGGCCCCTGGGATCTGTATGTATGTGTTTCCTTGCACTTTCTGCAGCTAACTAAAATGACTACCCTGAAACCTAAACAAATTTTTAAACCAATGGAAAAGAATTGGGGAGCCCCAAAATACTGAACTTTTGTGGTCATGGTTGAGGAACTAATACTTAGAATTACAACAAAAAACACACAAAATTTATTTATTTAACAAATATTTTACCAAGATGGATACATTGAGATTTCTCTCGTTTTCAAGTATGTCCTTGGTCCACAAAAAAAAATTGCATTGATACAATATTACAAAAATACAATATATATATATACATACACACACACATACATACACACATAAAATGTAACCTATAACAGGTGATATATATATTCAACCATGACAGGTGCATTCTATGCAGAGATATTGCCATAGATCTCTTAAAAAATATTTTAGATTAAATGAAGATTTGACTCTGTCCCTGATGTTATTACATACTTGCGGTGCTCTGTAGGAAAAGGATCGAGCCACTTTATTTTTGTATTGGGGTATACTAAATATTGTGTGAGTACTGGATCGGAGGTTATAGGAGGTCGGAACAGCCGGGGAGAGCATTCTACTCAGGTAGGGTGGGAGTTTCCCAGAAAAGCTCTTATGCACAAGGCTAGAATTATGAAGAGTGTGTTGGGATTCCAGCAGTAGCCAGTTTAGTTCTTTTAACATGTCACAATGGTGGGTCAAGTAATTACATTCTATTACAAAACGGCAGAACAAATTCTATAATGTATTAAGGTTATTAAGGTGGGTTTGCGATGCAGGTGCATGAATGACATCCCCATAATCAATGACTGGCATCAGCATTTGTTGCACTGTTTCCTTACTATAGGGCTTAGGCAGGATTTGTACTGTACAGGGCATCTAGTTTTGAGTAAAGTTTTGAAGAGATTTTTTCAATGTAAAGGCCAAAGGATAGATCAAGCAACATACCTAGATATTTAAAATAGCAGACTGCTGTCAGTGTGCTATTTGAATTTGTTCTGATACACAATTGTTGATTTTGTATTTTATGTAATTCAGGTACAGTTCCAAAGATCATCGTAACAGTTTTGTCAGTGTTTAGGAAGAGTTTGTTATCCACTATCCACTTTTCTACCTCTGTGAATTGGTTTTGGAGCACGCACTCAAGCTGCGGTAGCTTGGGTTTACTAGCATAGATTACAGTGTTGTCTGCATACGTGCGTACAGTTGAGGATTTGCAGACGTTCAACAGATCATTTATAAATATGTGAATAGCAGGGGCAGAGTATCCTTGGGGAACACCACACGTGACTGGGAGAGGGAGGGAAGCGCTATCAGAAATGACTACATATTGCAATCAGTCTCAAACATACGATCGAAATTAGGTTAGTGGACAATCACCAATGCATGAGTTTTTAAGTTTTTGCAAAAGAATGCCATGGTCTACTGTGTCAAAGGCCTTGGCAAAATCAAGGAAAATAGCTCCAGTTAAGTCTCCTTGTTCCGTGCCAATTTGGATGTTATTGCAAACCTTTAAGAGGGCAGTCGAAGTTGAGTGATTTGGACGAAAGCCTGATTGATCATGGGTCAGATAATGTGATTGTTAATAATATTCACATAGTTATGTGTGGACAAATTTTCCAAGATTTTTGACAATACTGGGAGCAATGATAATGGGCGATAGTGTGTTGCCACCACTTTTATAGTGTTGCAGTGTCTGGTTGTCCATTTTGACAGTGGAGGGCTGAGAGTGGATTGTGGGGGGTTTGAATGGAAAATTTATGATTTTCCAAAAATCTTTAAGGTTTGAGATGTTATTGTTCTTATTTTCACAGAAAAATTGAGCCTTTGTCATTTTTGTTTTGTGCATGCATTTTGCCATTGTTTGTAGGTGCAGCAAACATCATGGAGCCAGTACGCTTGAACTTTGACGACAGTGAATCTCTAAACTGGTACATTTGAATGAGGTCAGCTCTAAACCAGGGCAGCTGTGTCCCTTTTATTTGCACTTTACGCCGAGTGGCATGCAAATTCCAATTCACAAGAGCTCAGACTGAAAAAATGCTAATGCAGAGTCTAGGATCTGGTATTAGACTTAAGCTGTGCCATGGTAGATTCTTGAGATTCTTTAACCCCTTAAGGACACATGACGACATGTCTGATATGTCATGATTCCCTTTTATTCCAGAAGTTTTGTCCTTAAGGGTTAAAAAGGAGTCAATATTAAATTTTTTGAAAGACCTGGTGATTATAATCGTGGGAGGGGATTTAGTGGCCTTTTTGCGTATGTAGTACACTAGACAGTGGTTACTGAAACTGTTAGGGAGAACACCCGCCTCCTGGATTATGTCAGGAGCGTACCTGGGCTGTGTAAAGGGACCTCTTCTGAGCTGTCAGTGAAGTCGTCGTATTCAGTCGCCATATTGGATCCGGCCGCGCCATGCGGTCTCCTCAGCAGGTCTCCTATGTCCGCTGTAAACCGCGGCTGATCCGCTCGTGGTTTTTTATTTTTCCTCCCCATCTGTGTGGCTTCTCTTTCCGACCGTCAGCCGGGTCGTGTGAGGCTTGATGTCGGCAGTAGTTAAGCCGGTAGTGTTACCCGACCGGGAGAGCTGCAGTCGTGCGTCCGATCTCCAGGAGGGCTATTTTTTTTTATAACTCGCCACCAGCACTCAGCAGATAAGTTAAAGCAGGGATTTGGGGATTACCTGGGTGTGTCTCTAAGGTGTTTTTTTTTTCTAAACACCTTAGACACACCCAGGTAATCCCTAAACCCTGGACAGGTAGGGGGTTCTGAGGACCAACGTTGAGAACCCCTGGTTTAAAGCAACAGAGTAGGCCATGGTGTGTGATAATTTGTTTTCCAGTTTGAGGTGTGTGCTTATGGCGGTAGTCATGTGAACAAAATTAGAGTGAGAAAAGGGTTAAGGAGTGTAGATGAAAACAAAACACAAATAGTAAAAAATTAAAAGGGAAATAAAAGTATATAATATTGATGTGTGATGTATAGCTATTTGTAGGGAGAAAGGGTATGTATTCTATAGGGTTAAGAGATTGGAAGGATGTGCTGATCAGTGTTTGCACCTGTCATTTCAGGAGAATACAAGTTGTGCGGGAGACTATATATAAATGAGGACATGAGCTTGGTGTGGGTGGACGAAACATATTACTTGAGAGTGATTTTTATATACTGAGTGGTTTCAATTTTTTTTTTTATGCAAACCGTTCATAAGCGAACAAAAAATGAAGTTTTTTGTAGCCCCGAGTTCAGCAAGGCATCATGGATAATATATTTCACAAACATTTGAAAGGGCAGTGCTTACAAAACAGCATATCACACTATCCAACAGGCTATTAACTTACCTCCAAAACATTTTGTGGAGACTGATGGGTTTGCCAAAATTTATTATACAAGGTTGGCTTATGGGCAAATGAGCTCTCAAACTGAAAATGAAGCAGAGACAACATAATTGGAAACTATAAGTAGACTTGAAAACAGAAGTGTACTCTGATGATCAGTCTCTAGTATGGTAGTAATAATGGTGCCGTATACCTTATCTCTTGCCCACTGAATCGTATGCTCAATAGCTGCTGGAAATGACTTTAAAGTGCAAAATGGAATTTCTTCATCGGGCGGGTCACGCTAACAGAAAAGAAGGAAAGAAAAACATATGGTAAAATGATGGATTAAACAAAGCTACCATAATATTTTGTGGTAATAATTACTACTTGACAACCAAATAAAACAGGGCTGTAATGAAAAATGCAGATCACTATGTACAATACATTAAATGTGACTAAGGCTGTATAGCTAAATATACTGCTTCCTTTCATTGCAATACTTACATAACTGTTGTATGATTCGGTTAATTGAGGTACTATAACTTCTGTGTGTCCTTTTGTCCCCATAGTTCCAGAGTCCAGAAGAGGGCGCCAGTTTGACACAGAACGACTGTAAAAGAAGAAAACAAAAAAGTATGCACAACTTGAACTTTTCTGGCACAAAGAAAAAACAAAAACCATCTTAAATAATTAAATATGGGTTTTTTTGCCGCCATTTTGAATTTCAAAGATCCTGCAACCATTACAAGATTTGTTCTTATAATGTACACTCCCATGCACACAACTTTAGTTATTACAGTATAAAAATGCCCTGGTGCAGTCATATCTTCACTGGTTAAATGTTTTTTTCCCTTAGCACACAGCAATCCTGCTCCAGGCTTCCTCTCCCTCCATGAGAGAAAGTTTAAGCTGGATAGCCTCTGACAGGTTCTCATCTCACCATTGGGTGTCTATTAAGAAACAAAAGTATGCCTTGGGGGGGAGGGAGGACGTGGGCCTGGGGATCCGGCCCGGTCCGTGGCTCCGGCCTCTCGCCCGCTGCCTCCTCCGTGGAACCTCGATGCCCCGACTTATTTCCTTACTTACTTATCTCCTACTTCACTTACTGTCTTTCTTTCTTCTTTCCTCCCTCTACTCTACGTTGCTCTAGTCTCTTCACCTTGTCTGCAGTCCGTCGCCTTAACCCTCACTCGGAGGGTGGGGGACCGGACTTAGCATGGTACCGCCTAAATCACATTTAGATTAGGAGAGGTAGCATCCCATACTCCTGTGGGGTGCAAACTAGAGGGATAGGGTACCGGGGCCAGGGATGTGAAGCTAACCCTGGTGTACCACATAGCATCCACGTGCACACGTATTCAGCTGTGACGGGAATGTCTTTGACCCGTCATCCAGACAAGAAAGTATCTGGTTTCTACATTCTTGTTTTTGATGTTGTAACAGTCATAAAGTTGCTAAGCTCATGATCCTTTTTGATATAATGTACACAAAATGTGCTGTTTTGACTGCCATAACAGAGTCAGTGATGGTACGCTTGTCTTTAAAGATATGGCAATGCAAACTGTTGTATTCATGTGCGCACAAATAAAATAAAGAATAAAAAAAAAAAAAAAAAAGAAACAAAAGTATGAACTCTGGTTTGACTATTTCAGCCTTTAAGTTGAAACTTACTACAATTCATACTTTAGTGAATAACCCTATATGCATATTTATGTGGGTGTAGCATGTGAAGAGAGACTATGACTAAATTATCTGTACATGGGAATTATTGTCAGTGTAGAGAGTAAATGGTGTAAACGTCACAGGTAGCATTATTACACAGCTTGCAGTGTGTAAACAATGTATGTAGTGGGCAGAATGTGATTGCCATCTCTGTGCTGTGGGCAGCTAACTACTCGTAGCAGTGCTTTGGAGAATTAAATAAACTTCAGACACTATTCAGTGTAGTAAGCTATGAGACATTCAGTACAATTCACACAGTTTCAAACAGCAATGGGTAGGGATTGAGCTAAAATCTTTTTTTTATTGCGAATCACTGCAACTGTACTGAATTCCCATTAGGAATCAGGGCTGGGAAGCGCTTAAAAATATGTCTATGCAAGACGCAAAGAGGAGTATGAGCCAGTTATACTGCATAATAATACTGTCCCATTCTATAAAAGACGAACACAATTTAATAAGATTATTATTATATAGGGACATTTAAGTACTGCACCTGCTTTGTAATGTAAGCAGACCATGTCTATCAGTCAGAGGTAAATCCCTGTAAATTGCACTGCCTAGTACTTAAACTATGCACACGCTTGTTTTTTTTTAAAAAAATATACATAAAAGGGCAATTTTTATTTGAATGCACACAGTCTTTTTAATATGTTTCAGAATCTCACCTATCTATGTATCGCCTGGCCTCCACATTGTCAAGTGCAGTCACCACAATATCCTGTCTAGAATAAAACTCATCTCGGTAGATGTTCTCTGTGGCAGGACATATTTTATCCAAACGTGGATCAATTTTCAATTGAGGATTGATGTTAAAGGTCGCAGTAGCAGCAGTGCAGCTTTTAGGTTTCTAAAAAAACGGCAAAAGAGAAGACAAACCACTGTTAAAAGAAATAATGGAATAGGAGCTGAAGTATTGCGTGCAAATAGTTATTCAGAACTGTATGCGGATTACAGTTCATTCTTGGTAGTAAAGTTAAAAATAATATTTCACAATAAGAGCTAAACAGAATAATGAGACCATAAATGGCTGTTTACCCAGTACTGCTTCAAACTGGGATAGTGGGTTTGCCCTTTTGCCCTTAAATAAAATAAATATATAATTTGTTTAAGATTTATTCCTCCATGTTGTAGTTTAGCAGATATGCTATCTTCTATTTTATTTCCTGTAATATTTATAGCTTGACTTATCATGGTGCCGTGCTGGGAGTGACCATTTAAAAAATATTCAACAGATGATAAGGTTGCAGTACAACAATTGCATAAGGTTAAATGGACACTATGGTCACCTGAACAACTTCAGCTTAATGAGGTTGTTCAGGTGAGAACTATAGCTCCCTGCAGCCTCTCATGTAAACACTGTATTTTCTGAGAAAATACAGTGTTTACATTGAAAGCTAGGAACACCTCCAGTTGCAGTCACTCAGAGTGAACCAGAGGGACTTCGGAGTTGATGGAGGCATAATATGCCTCCATCCACTCAGATCTGCTGTCAGCAGAGCACAGGGCAGCACAGTGCACAGCATCCTGTGATTCAGTGTCTCCTCCCTCTGCATGCAGACACTGAACTTTCCTCATAGAGATTCATTGATTCAATTCATCTCTATGAGGAGATGCTGATTGGCCAGGGCTGTGTTTGAAATGTGCTGGCTCTGCCCCTGATCTGCTTCTGTCAGTCTCAGCCAATCCTATGGGGAAGCACTGTGATTGGATCAGGCTACCACTTCTGATGATGTCAGCAGACTGCTTGTTTTTTCTGAGTCTAACAGCATGCAGATTTACAGCTTCAGGCTTGAATACAGTACGATTTTTACTATATTTATGGAGGCACGAGGGGTCCAGGGGGGCTAGATGGTGTTGTTAACACTATAGGGTCAGGAATACATGTTTGTGTTCCTGACCCTATAGTGATCCTTTAAAGAAGATATAAAAGGGATACTAAAATTCAAGTTAGAGAGAAAATAATGCAAGTAAATTGGTGTTTAGCCAATAAATCACATCAGTGTCTGCCTACATGGTAGGTATCAAAACTTGATTGCCATATTAAATATATCATGCTAAGGGACATAAAGGAAAATTCCGAGCACCATCACCACTACTGTGTGCTTTAGTATGGTATGAATACTTATATGAGGGTTGGAGCCAAAGATAAAGATAAGAATCAAAGAAAGGATTTGAAAACAAAAGTTCATAGGGGCAACTTACTAGTACCATAATCACTACAATAAGCTGGAGAGGTTACCGTGCTTGGTGTGTCCCTTAAAATTCATAAGCATTTATATGTAAAAGTCATGAGCTATTCTATTCACTAAACGTCAAATTGTCCATAGCAAATTCTGTCACTTTCTTTTAGTTTAATTCGGCTCATAAAATTCCCGGAGCTTTACAGTCAACTGACATGAAAAAGCACTGATCGAAAGAGCCAGCTATTTTCAATAAGGTTCTCACTACACCCAGATATAGAAAATAAATATACTACTAAGGTACCATTATGGGGTTAAAGATAATGTTAGAGGGAATGGGATTAAACAAACCTGAATGCAATGTGGCTGTTGGGTATATTGCTGAACTAGCAAACAAACATATAGATATACATATATAACATATAGATATACAACTGAAATAAGCAAACCAGCCTGCTGTGATGATCAGATTTGGTTTTAAATAGTAATCATTGAACATCATTCACCTACATTTAGTGAACAGACACTTTCAAGAGTTTCCCACTGAGCCAGTCAGAACATACCTGAATGTGGTGAGGCCGGAAGAGGAACTGTCTATTCAAGTTTGATTTTTCGATCAAGTCCGGGTCTGTGACTGTAATCTGAATATTAATTAAAAAAAATAGATTTAATTTAGAAACTTTAATTTTTGCATGTCCTGCTTAATTTAGAATGTCTTAACTCCTGCTCTGTTAATATCCTGCGATATCCTGCAGGAGCCTCCTGTGTGTGATTTAAGTTCAATTTACAAAGCAGTAGATACAAACTTCTTAATCAAGTTAACATCTAAATTAAAATGAAAGCATTTTTTTTATGCAGGCTGTGTGAGGTGTGGCTAGGGCTGCATGGACAGAAACAAAAGCGATTTAATTCCTAAAAGGCAGAGAATTGAGCAGTGCGGCTGCAGGGACATGATCTATACACCAGCACCAGCAGTTGTTCTCAAACCGTTCCTCACAATCCAGCTACAGTCCAAGTTTTTGTCAGTATCTCCAATTTAAGAAAAAAGGGAAATGCATAAAGCCTGGATTGTTGGTGGGCCATGAGGACTACTTTGAGAACCACTGACCAATAGTATCCCTTTAAACATTTCAGAGATTGTAGTTGGCTGATGACATGTATTTTGAAATGAAATTCCAAGACTTAAATAGTGACACCCAGACATGCAAAATTCAGGTTTCTGTGTAATTGTTTGCAAAAATACACCCAGTATCAAAACATTATTTAAATTATCCCCCCTGCCCTCCCCCCCCACAAAAAAATAAAAATAAATATATATATCAAATTAAATATATCAGTATCACTCTGCATTCTAGTATCAGTTTTACTCTTGGGATTTCACTTTCCCAGGGAGTATGAATATTTCTCAATTGAAAAGATTAACCATTCCACAAGAACATTGCCCTCCATAACCAAGTATTACATATATCCTCACTGGAATAGAATTGATCAATTTCTAAAACTCAGACCACCAACTTGGTTGGTTGACTAGTTTGTAAACCAGTCATTTAATGTATTATCTGACTCGCCACTTGCCCCCCCGTATGGCTGCAATTTCATCCGCTATAACTCACCTGGCCTCTTTCTGAGTCACACCCAACTCCTAGTAGTGCAAAATTTTTCAACATTTCACAGCCTATGGCACCACACCCTACCTGCAGAATCAAACAAAAAGATTAGAAAGTAATTTTAAGTAATGTTTTAAGTCAAAATTAGACAACCAAAATAGACGGATACGACACAATAACATTTTGCATGAGCTAAAATAAGACATGTTTTATAAACACACTAAATTATTAAACAACCAACACAAAAATATAGTGTAGATTACTAAAACGGTTACAATTAAACCTCGTGAGGGAATAGGATATATACTACAAACAGCATAAATGCCAGAATATGGTGTTTATATAGTTTCTCAAACCTTTTAACAGTCTTAGTCAGGACTAAATAATCTGAAATTAGTCCAGCCACTATTCTAGAATTGTAAATGTAAAAATTAAATATTAATAAATCGTGTTCAACATTACAAACCAAAAAAGCCAATGTATAAAAGATTAATAAAGTTTGAAAGAATATGACTGTCATAAGTGTATGTCAAATTCTATTATGGTGATATTTCATCAGATGTTTCCTAAGATGGAGAGACATTGTTTTTCACAAAGTGTATCTAAGATGCATTCACTGTTCCGAGTTCAAAGCAGTCAGCATTAAAATTGCTTCTGTTCAATTGCCTAGCATATTGTATTGAAATTTTATTTCTCCAGCCTACTATAAAATGATTCATAAATGAGTAACATTGTTCGCAAAAAGCTTGACAACACCCTAACAAAAAAAATAAATTATAAAGAACAAACATAACTTAAGATACATACCAGGAAAACATTTAAACTGTGAATCTTCTGGCAGAAAGATTCCCCAATGCAGGCCCTCAATGCATCATACCGGTCTCCCCTGTAGATGAATGTGTGTTAATATGCATATGACTCAAAATCATTAAAGTCATTAAACCAATTTCCGCATGGTTTGGAGGAGGAATATTTAAGATATATACAGATGGTTACATCAAGCAACACGTAGAAGCAAAATGAACAAAATACAATATAAATTTGCAGCAGTCAAAAGTTCAAGAAACAGATAAAGAAAGAACAAGACTCAGAAAGTAGACCCAGCCTAGTTCTGCAACATTTCTTTAAGGAAGCACATGTGGCAGTCTTAGAGTGCACTGGCAGCGGTGTATGCAAAATACGCCCAAGCTCAATTATGGGTCGATGGGGAGATCAATCAACTCAATCACTGGCCCACTGCCCTCACTTTAAGAGAGAAGGGTGGCGCAGAAGATCTACACACAGGACCACTGGGGATTGGCATGTTCTTCCTCCCTGTCACAAAGCGATTCAAAGGAGGGAGAATAATAAAAAATAAAAAAAAATACATTTAATAATTAAAAATGAAATATTTCATGTACAGAAAAAAAACTAAAAATATTAAAGAAAAGTCCTATATCACTGTCTCCGAAATGCTACAGCCCCACTCCATACTACATCTCCTACACAAACATACTGCTTGACATGCAGACTAAACCACTATACACACACACACACACTCTGTTGTGCATGCACAACATCTACACACAAATCCTCCCTACAGCCACTAGACACATATACTACACCACAAACATAAAACAAACAGATTTAAATACACACACAAACACAAAATCACACATATTACACCACAAACACCCCCTACACACATGCAATCCCATAAGCAGCCTACAAATGCGTTAACAAAACCCTTTCCTGTGCTTGTCACTCTTTTGTCCTCTGGTCTGGTATATCACATGGAGACACTAGAGACAAGTAACCAGCAATTTATTACTGTGCAATTTTGTGAAACTGATACTTCTAAAATTCACATTCCTCTGTGTCATAGCTGTAGAACTCTGTAATGTACTATTATACACTTTGCTGTGGAGTTCTATGATACACTCTTACACAACGCACAGAACTGTGAGGATTTGTGCTGTGATGTTCTGCAGTACACTAACACGGCTCATTACTTTTTTTAAAGCTATGTGATAAACCCATAGGCACCAAACATAACTGTTCGTTTCAATGATGACGAGGTCAAAGATTGTCCCATCATTGTAGTCCACAACAAAGAAAAATGAGGATCAGTGTCAAACTTCAAAGCAATTATCTTTGTGTTTGTACGTGCTGCTTCTGTGTGATGTAGTATATGAGTTCTTCACAGTGGGTGGGGGAGGCAACATTTAGCTTTGCCTGTGTAGCCTAAATCCTTGCATCTGCCCTGGGTGTAACAGATATATTGTAGGGAAGTAGAGAAAAATAACTATGGTAAAATATTGAGAATAATTCATGTCAAATATATTAACCAATTTAAATTTGTAAATAATTAGAGGCCTATTCATCTTAATACAATAGAGGACTGACCTGGTGCCAAAATGCATTAGAGTGCTCAGTCTAATGACAGACATTCTCCAAGCACTTGAGCTAGATTCACATTGACTTCCAATTTGTGGCCCACAACTAAACGTATGGGTGACATTAATCATAATGAGTTCCAGATGAATTCCCAAAGCTTTAGGAATTCTGGAAAGTTCAGCATTGAGCTTGCTAAGGTGAAAAGGGTCATGGATCTCAGTAGAATTTTATCTTCAAAACACTAAAAAAACATGAATATCTAAAACTTGGGATCTTTGAAAATGATCCCAACAGTCAAATTCTATATGAGAAAAAGCAGCCATTGACAAATTTATTCCACTACCAAGTAACTCTTGAACAGGTATCTTAAACTCCGGCCCGCCAGATGTTTTCGAAATACAACTCACACGATTACCTGGCCATCTACTGCATTCAGAGAATTCTGAGAGTTGTAGGCTATCAACATCTGGGGGGCCAGAGATTGAGATCCCTACTCTATACAGGTAACCAAAATTAATTCCCAAATAAGGCACTCCAAATGTAACAATACCTGGGAAGAAATTCTTCTCGGCTGGTGTGTTCTAATGGGTAAACAATGTCCATGGCATCCACAAATAGCTGTAATTCAGGGATACAATAGCAGAAAGAATCAAAGTTGATATTTTAGAAATCAATTTTACTGCATTATAATTAAATAAAAACAATCTCTAGTATTTTTATTGCTCGTCAATGGGAATCAAATCACTTCTGTGCAAATTTTCATATTTGAATGTGCAGCTGATTAAAAGTTTACATCACTACTTTACGGACTTCAGAATAATAAAATGCTGAGTTAACTCATATGATAATCAAACCTGCAACCTTGGAATTTTACAGACACCTTAGTCAGTGCAAAACAAATTTGTCAGTCTGTATAGATATCAAACACTGTGTTCACTTACAAAAACTCACCTACCGACTTGACACAAGACACATAATATAAGTAGGTTCTAGTTTCTATTGTTCATCGCAATAAAAACATTTTTCTTTAAATGTTGTACACTAAATGGTGAAGTAGCAAACATGTTTGAGACATCTTTTAAAAGTAATAATACGGAGTCTCAGCTTACTCAATATGAAGCAATAAAATAAGTTGAAACATACCCATTGCAGCAAGGGTGAAAACTTTCCTGTCACTGCTTTCAAGACCTCTTGACTAACGATTCCTCCAATCACAGCAGCAAGGGGAGCCAACAATCCTCTTGCTGTCCAGGACAACCACCTTACCAATCTTTCATCCAGCTGTGGCTACAGGGTAAGAAAGAGTCTCAGAATTAACAGAAATAAGTTAGAGTACTAAAGATTCTAATAAAGTTCCAATTTTTAGATGTACTCAATACAAGTTCACAATGAAAGTTACACCTGACAACAAAGTTCAATCAATGTAACCAAGGATTTTGCCCAAAATCTCTGCTTAAAGGAACACTCTAGGCACCCAGAACACTTCGGCTTAATGTAGTGGTCTGGGTGCCAGGTCCAGCTAGACTTAACCCATTTTTTTTTTTTTATAAACATAGCAGTTTCAAATGGGTTAATCCAGGCCTCAAATCCTCTAGTGGCTGTCTCATTGACAGCCGCTAGAGGCGCTTACGTGATTCTCACTGTGAAAATCACAGTGAGAACACGCAAGCGTCCATAGGAAAGCAATATGAATGCTTTCCTATGAGACCGGCTGAATGCGCGCGCGGCTCCTGCTGCGCGTGCACATTCAGCCGAATGGGAGGATCGGAGGTGGAGAACTCCCCGCCCGGCGCTGGAGAAAGGTAAGTTTTAATCCCTTTCCTCTCCCCAGAGCCTGGCGGGAGTGGGCACCCTCAGGGGACTATAGTGCCAGGAAAACGAGTATGTTTTCCTGGCACTATAGTGGTCCTTTAAAGGAACACTAAAGTGTTAGGAATATAAATCTGTATAGTGTTCTCCTCTGCATGTAGGAGCAGCATTGGCGACAACATGCACATGTTCTCTTGTAATGAGAGTTTAGCTGTGAGAAGAAAGTTAGACAGCCACTAAATGCATGTTTAACCCTGCAATATAAGCATCCTATCTACTTAATGACAATTGAGTAGGCAGGACTGATCTAGGTGCCTTTAGCAGTCATTGGCTAGACTAACTGCATGAGAGAGTTTAAAGGAATACTATAGACACCCAGACCACTTCATCTCAATAAAGCGGTATGAGTGCCATGAGACAGCCACTAGGGGCTGGGTTAACCCATTCGTACACATAGAAGTTTCTCTGTCACTGCTATGTTTACAACAGAAAGGGTTAAGCCTAGAGGGACCTGGCATCCAGATCACTTCATTAAGCTGAAGTGGTCTTCAGCTTAAAGAATATTATAATATTATAGAAAGGCTGTCTTTTGCAACAAGCCAGAAGAAATATCTAGTCATCCAGCTGCATGTTAACAAAGAATTAATAGAATAAATGGAGTTAGTATAACTGTTAAAGAGAATCTACAGTGTTAGGAATACAACACCTACCAGATTCCAGCGCTGATGTCTGTCCCTCCGGGCTCCACCTCCTCTGATGCCATCCGACAGGTGCCAATGTGAATATGCGGAAAGCGTCGCAGGACCTCCACATAGGTAAGCATTAAATCAATGCTTTCCTATGGATATTTCACTGACGCTAGATGTCCTCATGTAGAGTGTGAGGATGCCCAGTGTCATTTAGAAGACCTAGTGTCCGGTAATCTCCAGGAAGTGCCCATAGTGGCTGTCTTGTAGACAGACACTAGAGGTCATCTTAGTTCTGCAATGTAAACACTGCAGTTTCTCTGAAACTGCAATGTTTTACATTGTAGAACTAAGTGGGATAGGGACACTGCACCCAGACCACTTCAATGAGCTGAAGTGGTCTGGGTGCCTTTAGTGTCTGTAAAACATACTTAATCAGATGAAACACACCTGTAATAATCAAAACTAGTAATAAAGTGCAAAAAGATGTAATACCACTTAAATCTGCAGATATGTTGATAACTCTATGCTGTGCTATCTAGCACCAAAATACTTATGTATGTAAATATATTTGTTTACAGAGTATTAGAAAACTAAATGAAAAGCGAGTAGTGGAATAAAAATATAGCTTTGTATGTTATGAGAAAATACAATTAAATAGGTTACAATGAATAGTATGCTATGAGGAAATAGATTAAAGTATGTTACAAGGAAACTGATAAGATTTTAGAAGAACCAGCAAGTCAGGATGCCTGTGGATATACAAGAAGGAAGGTGATGTAACATTAAAGGGGCATACAGAATTTATTTTGCACGTAAAATATGCTTGGTACCATTTTGTATAGGTTATCAAATCAATAGAGCCATTAAAATGGAACGGTCATTTATCTGAAAATTATAGCACTAAATAAAATACTGAAGTAACTTACATTGTGATGATTGATTTCAATAAAAAATAAAAAAAAAGATTTTGCAAGAAAGATATAAAAATCCAGTTCAGACTAGGAACAGCTAGGGCACCCATTGCAAATGTGGAAGAGAAACACTAATTTCTCATCGCCTGTATGCTTCCTCTATGCGGACTACCAGGTGCAACTTAAATTGCTTACTTAATAATGATTGACAGGAAGCCAAGATGAAGGCATACTGTTGCATGGTAAAGAGGTGTGGATCTCATTATTTAGTTTTATTTTTCACACCTCACAAATGTATATCTGTTTACTAATCCCATCATTTAAAAAGAAAAAAAAATTATGTGAAACCTGTAGTAACTTACTTTACTGAGAAGAGTTTCAACAACAGATCCTGCCAACATTTGCATCTCTTCTGCATCCTGAAGGCAACTACAGAAAATAAAGGTAAGAGAAGACATGAAACTGGATGTATGCATAGTAATTTTGCACCAATCACCAAGTTTTACTTACTAATGGTGATAATGTTTGCACAGGATCAAAATTCTAATTTTTTTTTTCATTTTAATAATATGTTTAAAAAGATACAGGCTTAAAAGGGACACTGTAGGCATCCAGACTACTTCAGCTCATTGAGGAGGTCTGGGTGCTGTGACCCTTTTGCGCTTAGTGCTGCAATGTAAAACATTGCAGTGCCAGAGAAACTGCAATGTTTACATTGCAGCTCTAAGTCTGCCCTCTGTGGCTAGCAGACAGCCACTAGACGGCTTCCGGAATTCAAACAGACTTTTGGTCAGTTATCGGACGCTGGACGTCCTCACTGACCTCCAGCGTCAGATTTTCCCCATTGAAAAGCATTGAGTAATGCTTTTCTATGGGGAGGTCTAATGCATGCGCAGCCATTGCCGTGCATGCGCATTAGGTCTCCCCCGCCGGCTGATGTTGGCGGGGGGAGGAGCGTGGGCGTAGCCTGGCCCAGCGCTGAGGGACATCAGCGCTGGATTCAGGTAAGTGGCTGAAGGGTTTTTAACCCCTTCAGCTCCGTAGGAGGGGCCTATTATCCCTATAGTGCCAGGAAAACTGTTTTGTTTTCATGGCACTATAGGATCCCTTTATTATGAGTAACAACAAGTAAGGGAGATACAGAATCACTGGGCAATAGAGATGAGAGACAACATGGAATTTGAGGGACTCAAATTAGTTGGGCAAGTAAGAAAGTGGAAGCACAAGATACTGGATGGGGCTGACGGGGTGAGAAAGAACTAGAGAGGCAGGATATGAGTAATCACGATGAAAACCAGCAGAATGCTCCCACTGACTGGTGCATTTTCATAACATTAGTGTAGAATTGCTCTTTAAAACTCAACACCATTGCACAAATTAAATCATTTAATACAGTTTATGTTATTGCCTTTGGGTGACAACAAGACATTACCCTATATTTGGTAGGCGGTTATATTTCTCCTGGAAATGATCTAGTGCCAACATTGCAGCGTGAATGTTCAATGGGGCCTGAAAAATAGAAGAAATCAAATGAAAAGATTTGTAATTGTAATTGGCCTGGTATGTAATTTACAATATATTATATTTAATTATATTGTTAAAGTTCACTTTAGTGTACAACTAAAAGTAAATCTCCGAGTAGCAGATTACATTTACCTCTGGTTTACTGAAATCTGGTGTTAGGTACTTTGGGTCCACTAACTGTTTTTCCAGTTTTTCCTATAAGAGAAAAATATGTAAACACATTTTTTTTTAAACAAAAGTTAAAATGCATGACATCGTTCCAAACTCCATAGTTTGTGCTACTCAAAGAACAAGTGTTTATATGTGTTCTATGACAATTGCAAATGATCATAGTCCATTATTTCATTAGAAATAATGGCTTGACTTGAAAGCTTAACTGACATATTCACTAAAGTGTACTTTATTGGGAATTCAAAATGACTTTAAAACATTAGGTCAAATTTTCAGCTGAACCTGAAAACAAAGCTTAGTCGGGCAACAATTGAGGGCTAATTTGAATGAATTCCTGACAACTCACCCTCAACCCTCTACTCGAATCACACCTAGCAGTACAGGATTTATGAATTACCCAGGTGTGTCTAAGGTGTTAAAAAAAAAACAACACAAAAAAAACAACAGACTCCCGGGTAATTCCTAAATCCTGTACTGTTAGGTGTGCCTTAAGGAGAGGGTTGAGGAGTACTGCTTTAGTAAGTATAAATATATATATATATAATGAAACAACTCTGATAGCCAAACTATGTATACGGAAGTGGTGAATACATGTAACAGGAAACCCCTTCTAAAAGGGTTATAAACTAAAGGGAGAAATGTCAGAAATATTAAGTTAATTGTAAGTGAATTTTAGGACATATAGCTATGCTTACAGTTTGGCTACTTTGGCCTTAAATTTGAAAGTCACTTTGAATTCCTGACAATTCTCACTCGTGAATAACCCTGCAAGCATTCAAAGTAAAAAAATAAACTAAAATGCAAAGAATGAAAACTAAAACGTAGACTCATCCCTACATATTGTTAAAACACAAAAATTATGAGTACTATTAAAAAATAAATAAAACATTTTAAATAAAGGAGAGTAATGGTGTATGGATATATGCTGAAATAGAACTTTTATTCAAATAAAATAAGAAATCCACTTATTAGAAAGTTAAAGTAGCAGTCATGAAAAGATTCTTCTGTGCAACCAAATCAATCTGGCAGAATAAATAAAGATTATATAATCCCATATAATCTTGAGTCCCATATCTAGCTAACAACATTCAACTTCAGGTGCGCAGAAAATTGTTGCCAGTAGAGGGAGTGAGATAGCACTCTGGAGTTCACAGCATACAGAACAGTTTTATTTTAAAGGATTAAATTTCCCTTTAAACACTCAAGTATTTCCAGCACAATGTTCCTTGGCGCTGGCTCTGCTTCTGCCTCCGCCTCCGATGACAAAAGCATTGTGAACGCATTAGGACTTCTCTAGAGGAAAGCATTGAAACACTAGAGACAGCCTTAATATAAGTATTGCATTTTCTCTGAAACTGCAAGGTTTCAGATTGCAGGAATAAGGGGATAGGGACAGTCGGAAGTAAAAAGAAAAACACATTTCCATGAAGTGGTCGGGTGCCGACCACTTCATGGAAATGTGTTTTTCTTTTTACTCAAGGCACCATAACAACTTCACAGAAATGAAATTGGTAAGGGGCACTTCAATACCTTTAGGTATTAGAAGAATTTCTGAAAGCATATGTGGATGGGTACCAAGAGAAACGGTGCTGCAGAGCAGAGCAGACTTATGCATTTCATGCCTCAAAGGCTTTTCATCTAAATGATGAAGTGTCAATGTGCTTTTGCCTTCCGCCTGCTGTTTAGGATTTCAACATAAAGTAATAAAGCTATTATGTTTTAATCCTTTTCCCCCCCCATTTGCTCTATTTGGATGTTTCCCTTTTCTTCCACTTAAATGGCTGCTACTTATGGTTGTACAGGCACAGACCCTGCAAAAGCCCAGGTGCATAACTGAAATAGTGTAAAGATTTTTTTGTAACCATAACCAGTTACAAATAGTACTAAATATATTTAAATTTTTCATACTGGGAAACACTGAATCCCAGTCGGTCTCCAACTAACCAGTTCCAAAAATAAACTTATAAAAATATTACCAATATCATAGGTCTGCCCATATGTATTGCTTGGAGCCCCCCATGAAGAAGAGACAGAAGGAGAACCACAGAGGCAGGTAGAATAGATACATTGTTACCAACCTTGCATCTCTGTGGTCTTAGTTCTCAGATTGATAGAGTATTGCCATTACAGGTATATGCCAAGCACCAAAACAACTTCAGCTTAAAAGAGACACCGGAGGCCAGTGGAGTTATCCTGGTTTTGTGCTGCCCCAGGCAGGACAAAACTCAGGCGCCCCCCTCCCCCCCGCGCCACCCCCACCCAACCCTTCCCCCCGTCCCACCTTTTAAATACACACACACACAGTCAGACACAAACACACAGACACAAACACAGTCAGACACATACACAGACACACACACAGTCAGACACACACACAGTCAGACACAGTCAGACACAAACACACACACACACACACACAGTCAGACACACACACAGTCAGACACACACAAACACACACAGACAAACACACACACAGACAAACACACACACAGACAAACACACACACAGACAAACACACACACAGACAAACACACACACACAGACAAACACACACACAAACAGTCAGACACAAACACACACACACACAGTCAGACACAAACACACAGTCAGACACAAACACACACACACACAGTCAGACACATACACATACCACAAACACAGTCAGACACAAACACAGACACACACCCCACAAACACAGCCGACAAACACACAGCCACAAACACACACACAGTCAGACACACACACGAACTTTTTTAGGCGAAATCCCCCTCTAACCCTCCTCTTTGGGAGGAGTCTCTCTCCCTGGTGGTCTGGTGGTCCAGTGGCTGCAGGTCGGGCAGGTGGCGCTGGCAGGCGGGCGGCTGGCGAGGGAGCACTTCCTATGAGCTGTGTGCTCAGCTCCCTCGCGCCGGCTGCAGAGTGAGGCTGGGAGCCGGAAGATGACGTCATCTTCCGGCTCCCAGCCTCACTCTGCGGCGCGCGAGGGAGCTGAGCAGTCAGCTCAGGGGAAGAGCTCCCTCGCCAGCCGCCCGCCTGCCAGCTTGGGATGTCAGTTAGCCGCAAGGCTAACTAGGCATTTGCCCTGGGCATTTGGGGGCGGCGTTTTTTGCCGCCCCCTGAAAAATGCCGCCCAAGGCAAATGCCTTGTTTGCCTCGCGGCTAATACGCCCCTGCCGGAGGCACTGTACCTGCTTCATCTCATTAAAATGGTTATAGTGTCTGGAGTCTCCTCGTACCATTATTTCAATCAGTATTAAACAGTTTTTTTTTGTTTTTTTTTAAACAAGAGTCCCTGGCAGTCCATCCCCTCTGTGCTGCTTTGGCTAATGAGGAAATATTAGCCAAAGCAGTAATTGGCAGCTGTGATTGGCTGAGAGTGTCAGCTGACTGCTATTAGCCTGTCAGAGCACCAACTTACAGTATGAAAGGGTATGACAACAAGGAAGTGTGTAATCCCTGCCTTAGCCACACCTCCAGAAGGTGCTGGATTGTGGGTGGCAAGAGACCCATATTTAGTGTTAAACTGATTGAACACGGTTTAACACTGAATGGAGGGACAGCGCCAGGGGACTCCAGGCACTATAACCAGTTTAAAGAGATGACATTGTTATGGTGACTGATACAGTATCCCTTTAATTAAGCAGTTTTAGTGTACTGATCATGCCCCTGTAGTCTCACTGCTCAATTCTGTGCCATTTAGGAGATAAACAACTTGTTCCTCCCTTTTTTTATAATACACTATACAGTAGTTTCTTTTAGGGGTTATCCCACCTTCTTTGGTGTAGAAGAGACTAATTTAATTAGTTGAGTCATCTCACTTGCACAACTGTTATGAGATTATTCTGATAGCAACCAAATATTTTCTCTCTCTTACAAATTCATACAAATATATTGCATGGACCTCAAATTACATCACCTCTTTTCAGACACCCTAAACTCTGAATATATAGTAATTACTCTGCCTATCACCAAAGTTGGAAGCCATGTTGATCTGTGTTACATTTTCTATCCCACTAATATGATCACACCATCGGAGAATAACAGAATCATACAAACAGTGAAACTTCCTTCTAGAGCAGGGTTATCTAAACTCTGGCCCTCCCAATGTTGCTGAACTTCAACTCCCATGATTCTCTGGCAATTCAATTCAAAGAGTCATGGGAGTTTTAATTTAGGCAACATCTGGAGGGCCATAGCTTGGAGAATACTGTTCTAGAGAAACAGATATTTTATAAATGCATACATTGTAATACGGTCAGCACTGCTCATAATGCATTATGGAAATATAATATGTATTATGAGCTCTCTGAGACACCAAGAGGGAGATTTATCAGAGTGTTGTGTTCTGAAAAAATTGTGCAAAGTACTTAAAGGGGGGGAGCGGTAATTGTCAAGGAAACCAGTGCAACCAACAGCCATATTCCACTGGAGACTGCTCCCCTTAATATCTCTGCACCACATTTTAGCACACAGCACTGATGAATCTCCCCCAAAGAGGCTGTTGCTTACACATGGAGTGAATTCTCTGTCCACCATGATCTACATTCTACACAATTGCTATGCCTTGGGATTTGCAGACAGTGGGTAGAAGCAGGGCTTTCACAAGTAAAAAATCATATATATTTTAACTACATAAACAGAACACACCACCATTACAAACTGTAAAACTATGAATTAGATTCCTACAGAGGGCATGCTACTTACAAATGAAAAGGATTTTGGCATTTTAATCTGCACAGCTATGCCGCCATGCTGGTAGGGCTCCATTTGTGATGTATCTCCAATGCTGAATGAATAGGGAGACAGAACTGCAGAGAAAGAAGAATAATTAGATCAGTTTTCATTTAAAGGTTATATTGCATTTTAACATGCTAATAAGAAACAGACTAATGTTGTACGGAGAAGTTATTTTAAGTTGGAATTATTGCATAATTCCTTTTCTTTAAGGTATGTACACTTTCTTGACCGATGGTTGTTACAGCTAATTCTAAAAAAACAAAAAACAGAAATACCTCAAGCTGTGAAGGACGATGAGATGTATGTATGTGGGTACATTAGTATACACATAAATGGAGGAGATATGGCAATCTGCAAAGTTTAAATTACATTCTCCACCAGGAATGGATGTGCAGATATTGTCACCCAACCAAAATATATGGTATAATGCATACCTATATTTTGAAGGTTGCACACTTTGACATGCGTTACTTATGAATGTGGCCTTTAAATAAAGAAATGAAGAAATCTACCTTTCCGAAGACAGTTGTGAAGTCAGAGTGTAGTGAAAATACAAAATGTATATAAATTAAAAGGATTAAATATATAAGAATAATAAAAAAAATAAAGTACTGTAAACACTGTCTTTTCTCAGAAAAAAGGGCAGGATTTACATTAAAAAGCATTAAGGGACAGGCAGCAGACAACTGTTCTTTAAGAGATGTCAAACTAAAGGACACGATCGGTTTTATTTAGTCTAACGCAAGAAGGGATGTCAAAGTAGTTACCAGAGATCTCATGCATGGATCCATTTAAAGTTGTCATTCCATGGACTTCACGAAAAGTTACAAACTGCCCTGATTCAAGTTTGTGAGGACGGTTTTCAAAACAGGTAACTTCTCCAGAAAGAGACTGAAATTGAAACAAAAAACATCATTAGATGACATTGCTACGATAACTTGCTGAATTACAACAGAAATAGTTAACGGAACAACAGAAATGGTGTCCGGAACACATGCATTCTTGACACTACATTGTTAAAAAAAAAAAAAAATATCACTCTTTAGGCACTTGTCTGCCTTTGAAAAGGTATTTTATTTACCTTTTTTCCAGCATGGCACCGCCTCTGTCGTTGAGATCAAATGTGACAATCTCAGCCAATCCAATGCTTTCCCATTATATTAAAAACTTGCAGGGACATGCTATAGACACCAGCACTAGATTAAGCTGCAGTTGCTCTGGTGACAATAGTGCCCATTTAAATAATTTTCTTCTAGGCAGGTCAGTATTTCGCAGCAAGGGGAAGCTTAATGTTGCATGCAAGGGAGAGGCTAATAACATATGTTGCCAGAACGTGCAGACGACCGATGTAATTTTTGCACAGAATTGATCATTTGCAGCCTAGAACACAATTCTGGGCTGCCTAAGTACAAAAGTTTATATTTCTCTGTAAGTGCAGTGTTTCAAACAAAAAGGTTGCACATACAGACTCCTACCACCATGACCACTTCTAAAAGCAGAAGTGGTTATGGTAGTTGGAGCAACTCTTTCATACATACACAGAGTGTCTGCTGACACGGTCAGCCAATAAATGAAATACCAAGTTAAGTGTAAAATTGTTCAAAAACCCTTTGACTCCTTGCTATGAGACAGTGCCAAGGCAAAATGGCACCACGCACAGTGGGCTACAGTGGTTATGATGCATAAGCTGCCCTTTGATAGATTGTCTTTGAATATTCTGTTTTACAAACAAAAAGCAACCAAATTATTCTGTACAAAAAAAAAAAACCTGTATAAAATCAGAACACACAACTTAACTATTGGAGAACTGACCAAAAAAAATATTTTAAACCATGCAACATGGTTTTCTTTAAGGGATTCTAGCACATTCATTACCTGTGTTATATTAGAAATAAAGATCTCCTTTGGTTCTTCTCCTGTGGTGTCTAGTACTTCAAATTCATCACCAAAGTCACAAAAGAGGCAGGCACAAATACCATAGGAATCAGAGCTGATGAACTGAAAAAAAAAAAAAAAATCCAATCAGAAAAAATGTTTTTTCCAAGAACATATTACTAATAACCGTGGGTCTACAAAGTATTCATTGCAACGGATGAGTTAAGTGTTTGAAATGCTTGATATTAGTTGCTGCAGGCTCAGAGACTGCCTTACCCTAAGAGCTGCAAGGTATACCTAGGATACTCCATCTACTCATCATCCCACCTATATCTGCTGTATTCCCTTTTTGACAATTGCTCCTACTTTTGTTTTATAATTTTTGTACTAGAATTTTATGCTGTGTGCTTACAGATAGAATATCTCACACCTAGTATCTGTGTCATCAGGCCTAAAGCTGTTCCTTGTCAACTCTATGGACCATTAATTCCCATTGCTTGTCCCTTTTTAAATGGCACCTATTTCACCTTTTTTATTTTTGTTTAATTCTTTTTATTGCATTTTTTGAAATATTAATAAACAAAGACAACACCCAAGGGAGGGAACCTTACAGAAAAAAAAAAGGACTCCCATCCCTATTAAACATACAAAATACAATGTTCTATTTCAAATTACATCAATAAGCCGTCTAGGACATAATCTGGGAACATATACATCCCCTCGACTGCATATCGTGGTCCAGAAACGGCCTGTACTGAACCTTATAAATGTATTAAACATAAAAAGAAACAAAGACAAAAGACAAAACTGGTCGTATGTATTGCAGATCCAGAACCACACTTAAAGAAAAAGAAAAAGCAATATAAGGCCAAGGCATCTAGTAATAAAACCCCCAAAGAGAACACCCTTCCCACCGCAAAGAAGTCATACAAGGAGCCCACTATATCATATACCTTAAAGCCTCTTAATTTTTTGGACAAGACTTGAATAGAACGTCAAAGCCTTCAAATTAGAATATTCTCTCATAGACAATAATCCCTTTTCCATCTCGACTTGAAATAAAAGTTGTGCTTTAACTTGATCTCTCGTTGGAATATCAATACTTTTCCAAAATCTAGCAATTAATATTTTAGTAGCCATTAAGCAGTGTATGATCACAATATCAAAATTATCCTTAATTTCTGAGCCCAAAAGATGGAGTAGAGCGATTTCCGGTTTGAATTCCAAATAAGAACCTCCCAATCTATTTATAAATTCATATGTAATCATCCAAAGAGATTTAATTCGATGGCAAGACCACCATATATGAATCATTGAGCCATCAAGCTGAAAACATCGCCAACAATTAGACGGGTTAGTAATAGAAATTTTAGCAAGTCTAATAGGAACCAAATACCATCTATACAACACCTTAATAAAGGTCTCTAAAATATTCAAACAATGAATAGTTTTTTTGGTCCTCACAAAGGATTTACACCAACTTTTAAAAGGAATAGAAATTGCTAAGTCGGATTCCCATTTGGTTAAAGCTTTAGGAATAAGAGGAGTCCCTATCATCTTTATTAATTCGACTGCAATAGAGAAAACCCTTTTGACAGGATCCCCCGAAAAAAGTTTCCTGAAGATTAATCCAAGTCGACCTTCTAGAACCAATATATTATCTTTCAGATAGCTCTTAATACGAAGGAAATTAAATAGTTCTCTAGAGGGTAAATCTAACCAATTTTTCAAAACATCAAAACTTTTCAATTGATGGTCCGTATAGAGATCTTTTATCTTATAATTAAAATCTCTATACCAATTTGTCAGGTTTATCTCTACCATAAAACTTTCCAGCGACCTCAAACTCAAATTCTCGTAAATTTTTCTGTTAATATTCAACTTCTTCTTTATAGATGTCCATTCTTTTAATGTCTGTAATAAGGACAAAGGACATTGAGAACCCATTTCACACAAATACCTGTTCTGACTAGCCTCTCTCCATAAGAGAAATTCAAGGTTGTCTAAACCGAGTCTGGCTGCTTCGATTTTATACCAAGCTTGGTCTATAGAGTCGATTAATTGTAATTTGCTGGCATGAACTAGTATATTAGCCTGATAAATTTGATTAACAAGGGGGTAACCCAACCCCCCCTGGAAGGCCTTCCTTGAAAGATGGTAAGTACTAATTCTTGGTCTCTTCCCTCTCCAGACATACGCTGTAATACTAGATTGCAACATATTCAGCCAATAACTCGAAATCGAGAGAGGGAGCATACTAAATAAGTATGCCCATTTAGGTATTATATAAGCCTATTTCACCTTTCCTTCCACCCACCAGTAACCAAATCTACGTTGCTCCTTCTATACTTCCTTCACCCCTTGTTTCGTCCCATGACAAATTTCCTCATATCTGCTTGTCCTCTCCTCATGTAAAACCCAAAATACAACACACATTCAAGTCCCATATATGTCACACAACCTCATCCCATTCTTTTTGCTGTGCCTGTTGCAATGCAAACTCAGTCTGCAATACCATAAAATCATCTGCCATGTAGGATCTCCTTATCTCCCTCTGACACTGCTAACTTTGCCTCCCTCACGGTTCCTTCCAACCTTTCCCCCTTCTTCTCATTTCTTTTCAGTTTCTTTAAGTCCATTCCATCCATCTCTTAAGACCTCTCTCAGCCCATGTTGCTCTAATCTACTGCCCCCCCTGGCTGTACTCTACCCTTTCTCAACCAATGTTCTGCTTCTTGGCTTTAGTTTCTCTCTTTTGACATTCCTTCCCTCATCCTTGGTGACGTCAACATACCTAATAACCTACCAAACAACTCAGCAGCATCTAGACTTCTATCACCTACTTCATTCCTTATTCAAAATACCAACCACCCTACACACATAGCCGGGCAATAACCTTGACCTGGTTTTCTCCTACCTTTGCTCTGTCTCTAATGTCTCTAATACACATTTCCCTCTGTTTGACCACCACCTTCAAACCTGCACTGACAATTGGCCCCTCCCTCAGTATATTAAACCTAGCTCATATAAAGCCTTCAAAAACCTAAACTAACTTGATCTACATCAGTTCTCTTCCTCTCTCTAGTTTCCACTTTCTCCCCTCACAACTCTCTCCTGTCCCCCTCCAGTTTCGGCATACCATAATTCTGTCCTGTCTATTGCTCTAGATATTGCTGCACCTATCAAAGCTCACTCAAGGCGTTAGAGATGCCTCCAACCCTGGCACAGTAAGGTAACCCGCTATCTCCAACAATGCTCCCATACTGCAGAACGTTGCTGGAGAAAGTCTCACACCACACCTGACTTCCTACATTACAAATTATGCTACATCCTATAGGTCTGCACTTTCCCTTGCCAAGCAAGAGTATTTTACCTCTCTTTACCTCTCTTATCTCCACCTACTCTCGTGATCTCAAACGCATCTTACATACCTTTAAACACTCTTTTTCGCCCCACTGCAACCCCGCCATCAACTAACCTCACAGCTGGTGATTTTCAATGTCACTTTAGTGACAAGATCAACCAAATTAGGAATGCAGTCTCCCCTCTTTCCTTCTCCCCCACAATACTTGGCTTCCATTTTGTACCTTCTTCCACTTTTAACTCCTTTCCCCTGTCTCTAAGCTAGAGGTCTCCAAACTTCTGATATCCTCGTTCTCCCCTCTCACCGATCTCTTCCCTTAGTCTGGTCCCAGCCCAAATGCATATTTTAAACCTCTCCTTGACAACTGGCATCTTCCCATCGTCCAAACATGCAATTGTTAATCCTATCATTAAAAATACATCTCTTGACCTTACCTCTCCTAACTACCATGCCACATCACTACTCCCCTTCACTTCTAAACTTTTTGAGCGGGTTGTATTTACCCATCTAACTCTAGCACTCACTGTGTCTGCATTTTGTTGCTTAGACTAATTTGATCAACCAATCATGTAATATCTCATAGCAAACCACCATTTCAAGGATCCTATTACAAAAAGGAAAGTTAATGAGCGAAAATGAATGAAGGGGGAAAAAAAAAAAACGGGACATTCAATACTAGCATACGGTCTTAAAAGTCATCGACCACTAAGAGGATAACATTTCACATTTTCTTTTTTTTAATTCTTTATTTTTTGTTGTGCATGGTATAACAATAGGCTTACTCAGCCACGATGGCAGTCGTAAGCAGTAACAAACATAATCACAACATGGCATATGAGTACACAGCACAGGTTTTTAATTTATGTTGAGAGGAGGTTTAGACAGTGGATAGACTTAGCATATACAATTTAAGCTTTCCTGTTTGTCTGTGGTGTTCGTGTGTAGTGCATGCTTGGCAAGTCATAGGTTAAACATTTATATCCACTAGTAGGCTTAGATTATTTAATGCTTATAGGTTATACTAGGCATGTTACATGTTTATCTTCTATAAGTGGACTAGCTGAGACATTATGTAAGTGCATGCAAGGTCGTGTCTAAAGGTGTTTCTGCAACCAAAGAAAGTCACGCCATTTACATTGCATTTAACCGCATTAACAAGGTAAGCAGCTTAAAACCATCCGGGATCTTGGGTTCCCCCCAAAGGCGCCGGTCGCCCAAGTGTGCTCAGGTAGATACAAAAAGCGTCGGTTGCCAAATGCTTTCCTTTCAGCCTGCTGTGTCGACGGGTCATTAGAGGGATCTGGCCCCCAAAGAGCTGTTTGGGTGTCCCTGAGTGAGGTAAGGGAATAAGCCGATGCCCCTTCGTAGTGCAGGAGTTTCCAGGTGCCACATGTGGGGGTCTTTTCCAAGCGCTCCTGCTTGGTATCCCTCGGGTAGTAGTGTTAAGGGGCCAGATGCCATGGGGACGTGGTCTCGATGGTGTCCATAGAGTTTGTCCAGCAGTTGCCGTGATGCGGCGCTAAGCCTTTGTTTGGGCCGGTGTTGCAGTCTGGGGGGTTGATGGGGCTGGGCGGCTGGTCCCCTACCTTGCCCCCCCCCCCAGACCGGCAGGGATGGGCCTGCATGTGCCGAGGGTGAAGCCTTTCCTTCGATGAAGGTGAGCCTCTGGTAGCTCCGGGGGACTGTGTGGCACAGGTGTTTGGGCTATGCGCCTCTCGGAGTGTCAGTTTGAGTCCTCTTTTGGGAGGGAGTGTCCGTGGGGGGGCTCTGTGAGCAGAGTTACTCCCTGTGGTCGACTGCCCGGTTCGTGCTCTCTTTCAGCGCCTGGGTGTGAAGCCATTCCGCCTCTGTGGGGTCGGCCTGGACCGCTGGGCTGCCTGGGGTGAGTGATGTTGCGAGGTTGCTCTCTGCCGTCTCTCCTCGATTTTTCACCAGAATTCCTCCAATATCTCGTCTAGTTTTGACAGTGTTGATTGTGTCGTGCCTTGTGTTATGTCGGGAGGTCTGGCGTCCGCCATCTTGGGTTGCTAGATTTAGGTTGCAGCTTCACCAGGTCTGGTTTGGCTCGCCTAGTGGGTACCGGGATAACCCCCACTGGTCCAAAGAAGAGCGGGGAAGTCGGCCGCCTTTCCCGCCGCCCCGTGGCTTGTAGGCCCCAGTTTGCCTCCGCGGCCCCGTGCGTCTTGGGTGCCTGAGTTTTGTGTCTATGTGGTCTGCAACTTGTCCGCGAGTCGGTGGACAAGTGTGGGTGCTCGGGTTTATCCCGAAAATTGTCTGTTGGTGTGGGAGCTCGCATGGCATGCAACCTCTCTGCTTGGCGTTCAGACTCCGCCCCAACATTTCAAATTTAAAACCAAAAGTAGCTGTACTGGAAGCCAAATTTTCCACATACAACTCAAAATGGATGAGCACTTCCTGAGGTGCTGAAAGATCCAGTACTCTCCAAAGATAATGCCATTTTAGTGACATTTTATTTAGTAAATAGCACAACGGACACAAATAGCCAATATTTGATAGCTGGAAACATGTACTATAATCACCCTTATACACTCGGATTACATTGCTTACCTTTATTGGAGGCCGTTGAGAATGGCAAAAGTTGTTGACCATCTTTCTCACAGGCAGTTTAGTCTCAGTCAGTATGACACACTAACAAACAAACAAACAAATAGGTAATGGTTTTAGATCAGATAAATTAAAACATCAATTTTCTAAAATGTCAAATGGAATCCTGACAGAAACAGAATTAAAAAAAACAAAACAAACCCACAACAACAATGCCACCACCACCACCACAGAAGTCCTAAATCTGGAAATGAAATCTCAAGTGGCATTATTTAAAGGAACACTCCAAGAACCATAAACACTACAGCACTCTGTGGTTTACTTAAATGGCTGATGGCAATCATCTGATATTTTAGCTCAGGAAAGCTTGTGGAAGCTCCAACCAGGAGTTTCCATCTCTTGGAAGTGACAGGCACCTGGTGAACCCCATGTAAGTTGTGAAACGGTTAGCAAATAGTTTGACTACTTACATTGGGAGGAGGGGGCATGAGGGAAGGTGCCCCGGGACAGCTGTAGCGGTCACGGTGCTTGGAGTGTTAATTTAAAAAATGCCACTTGTCTTGGCATTACCAGATTTAAATGACAACTGTAAAACTGTAATACATTAACAAAAATGTATTTGCTGACCGAGATAGTCGCATGTGGCTGGAGCGCCTCAGGGAAAAACTCTTACGAAGCCTAATAATCAACTTAACCTTTACATTTTTGGAAAACATCCTACATATTCTCCTGAGGAATACTCTGTGGAGTCTTTGACCAACTTCTGCCTGGATCTGGCAGGTATGGCCCACTGCTGAACTCTGAGTAGGCTACAGACCCTCTCTACAATGTAGCTTATTTTACCATTTGATTTTTTTTCCCCCAGTTAGGAATATTTAATATTAGGTTATCTAATAAATCTGTTAATATAAAATATATGCTGTAGTCTCATTTATACCATCCAGTGGCAATTCTCTCTTGTTAATATAGCCATGTATCTCCACATTTAATATATTTCCCCTAGTTAAAATCACGTTGCAATCGCTACCAGTGCAGATGTCATGCTTTATTTTAATATATTCTCTTTAGCTACAACTTAAACGCACTGTGTATTCTATGTCTTTATTTTTTTTTAATTTAAAATGAGGCCTCTGTGATCTCAGAGTGACATATTGAGTTTCCTCATGTTGCTAGGTACACCTGTATTTTGTATAAGCATAGTGAAACCTTCGAATCATACTGCAATATTTGCCAATTCATTGTAGGTTCGTGTGTATTATTGTCACCACTGCAGAGCTATGTCTTTATTCCTTCATACTAAATTTTATTAAAAAGAAAAGGAAAACAAGAAAAAAATTATTTACAACTGCTAAAGTCAAACATTTTGTTATGTTACTGCACCATTCTAAACTGAGAACAGACTAAAGAATTGAAAATTTTAGACTAAAATAACCATGCTAGACAATTGTTTCAATTCAAAATTTTGCCAATAATTTACAGTACTAAGTTCAGTTGCATATCCGCAGAGAAAAATACTGTACAACTGCAAGTTATATTGGCTGCATACAACCAGCACTAACAATCGATTATCAAAGATAAATGAGCAGGCCCATACATTAAATCAACTTGATCTCATACATGTACGCTATAAATCAATGTAACACCGTGCAATGGTGGTTTCTTACTTTTGGTTTGATTTAATAAGCTTTCCAAATAATTCAATACAGTTAGAAAAACCTCCCTAATGATTTATCTACAAGAATTCCCACAGGCATTAATGATGAGCAAGAACAATGCAAGAACAATGCACAATACACAATAAGGTATTCTTAGTGGACGTGCCAATACCTGATACTGCTTCAGGAAAGCGAGACTGGAGCTTTCATCCAGAGGCATAGTTGAGGATGTCACTTGGACATAAGGATTCAGCTCTGCAACGTGGCGAAGGCATGCATCAGCTCTGTAACAAACAGTTTTAGACATCAATAAGGATTCAATCTTTTACACTTGCCAATCATGCAAACGCTTAAAAGGATGCTCCAGGTGCCATAAACACTTCATTTCAATGAAGTAGTTATGATGCCTAGAGTCCCCAGACAAATTCTTACCATTCAGTGTTAAACTTTTTTCCAGCAGTTTAAAAGAGAAATAGTGTTCCTGGGGGCCTGCCCCTCGTGCTTGGCTAATGTGGAAGCATTTGCTTGAGCACTAAATCATACTTACATTTTTAAGCTGTACACACTTTATGAGTGAACAGTTAATGGCTGATGTTGTCCGCTGACACTATAACCACTTCATTTTCATATCCCTTGAAGATAACACAACAAGATCCCTATACGTGCTAAAGTGCTAGCAATTCTTTTTGCAACAAATAAAAAAGTCATCATAGATGAAGAGGATATACATACCCCATTTTCAGTACAGCCGATATGGTTTCATTAGCATTATGCTTTTGTAATAACCCCTATATGATTGGCCCTTCTTGGGAATGTCAATCACACTTACCCAAGCAGTGCAAATCTATCACAATAACAGGCTAACTTCACTACTAACACATCTGCAGTGTCAACAGTCATGTCTCTCACATTATCCATATGATCATCTGGAAAATTGCCAGAATTCACTTGCAGTTTAGCCAAGCAGTTGAATGGCCTGCAGGAGTATTCTTCTGTTCTAGATGTCAATTCATCCTTGACATTCATGTCTATGCTGTCAGCATTGATGTGAACACAGAATTCTTTGACATATAGGTAGTGGGATATTTCTTATTTACACTTTTCTTAAAAAAAAAAAAAAATCAAAACAAAATCTATACGTTTGCTAGTACTCCAATGCACAGATGACATTTAATGTTGTTTAATAAAAAAAAAGTTGTGCCCGCCAGGACAAGTCCACCTCTAGTCAACAGAAGTGGAATTAATTGCTATTCAGATACAAGGACTCGTCCGAAAACAAAGCATGGAATTGTGCAGACAGCACAACACTGCCTTTTTTCAGTTTACAGAAAATTCACAGTAAGTTGAAAGCCTCTGGTTTTCCAAAATAAGTCTGTGGTTGTATGTAGAATATTACGATTCGCCTTTACAACTTTTTAGGAGTGTGTTTTTGCATGGTTACCAGCTTTCCCCTTTATTATATTACAAAAAGAACCAAACGGTCTGTAGAAATCTTCTTAATAAAGAAAAGATGTACAACGTGTATTGCGTGTTAATAATTATGCTTTGCTTGAAACCTACTATTGTTGTATTGTGTATTTTGCATATAATATCACACAGATTTTATTTTAGATAACCGATTCCCTATATCATGAAGCTTTCAAGCCAACAGACAAAGGAGTAAATTGCAAGTGATTTTTGTATTGACATACACTCACCTATTTCTCTGATTTTTTACATCCTCCTCTTTAATAAAGAAATTGGTTCCAAGATCCCACGTTTCACATGTCCTAGTATCATGGATTGTCAATGCCTGGGAAAAAGGGAGGAAAAAATAAATAAATTAATAATAATAATAATAATCATCGGAAGCAGAAAGGTAACTCATGAATCCAACTATGTTATCAATATCTTCAATTCTTTTTTCCCAATGTATAGAATGTTTAATGTTCCATTCATGTATAATCAAGGAAAGGTGCCATTGCGTGAGAAATAGAACACTACTTTTACACAGTGTCCTGGCTTGTGATTACAGTGACATGTGCACAGATGGGCAACCAAGCTTATGGTTACACATGTTCCTCTGCTCAACATGTAATCACACAGAGGAGGGAGGGATGTGAAATTCTGATATGCGGTAAAGCTGTGCAGGGTTACCTTGCAGCACCTATTGTGACTAAATGGCTAAATCCTTGGGGTTCAATTAAAACAGATAAATGGGTCTTAGAAGAAGAGTGAGTCAGTACCGAAGTGTATCAGATATGGAAATTTAGATCTGAAAATAAGAGGTTCGAGAAAGAACGATGAGAAATAAAGTAACTGTGAAAAAGGAGAAAGTGCTTGGTAAAGAAAGGGAGGTGGCGTGAGAAGAAAGAGAAATTATGAATGATGACTACTATAGCAGTCGCTCTTGCTCATGAGTGGTGGACGTTTGAGTACAGGATTAGCTTTTGTGCTTTTATTTGCTTTTGCATTACACCATATATAACTACCCCATGAAGGATTAATAAGTTAAGAGGATCATAAGTATTGCCCTTTGTGTCTCACCTTTTAGCTAAAAAAAAGCAGCAAGGTGAATTAAAATAGGTTAGAGCAAATCTAGGAGTTAGGGTAAAACAAACCAAACATTTGACTTGATATTGGCAAGTGAGCTTACACTTTAACAGCCACTACAGTGGAACAAAAATGGTTATTTAAATGTAGGATTTGGGATAATGTGCAGGTAGCGTTTTGGCATTGTAAGATGGCAAGTGCCTTAGAGGCAAAGGGTATGATCTGAGATTTAAACATGCAATTCAAAGAAGTAACAGAAGCGTTCTTTAAGTTCTGGAAAAGATATGGGGTTATAATGGGTGTATGAATGGCAGGGGGGACATCAGTCACCTTTGTTTACATGCAAATAGTACTGACATCTTATCTAAACAATGGGCTGTTACCTTTATTCCAGCTAAAACAATGTTCTTTGCTAAAGGAAACAAAACATAATTGCAAATGTTACAAGGATTAGCAACAAAACGTTTTGAAAACAAAACAATTATACTTACACAGGTTAAAAAAAATAAAAGCTTGTGTTCACTATCTATACAAAATAGCTGTATTCCTTCAGCTAAAAGTTGCATTAACGCATTAAAAGTGACCCCACAGTCACTGATGATACTTTGTTTACCCTGGTGCCATTCCCAGTAATGAGGCAAACATTTATTTATTTCTTTTAACAAAAATGAATTAGTTGATTTTAGCTCAAACATGTGTCTGTGCAGGTATATAAATGGTTTTTAAAATGTAACTACTTAAAAAGTTTTGAAAAATGGAAATGGGCACACATACTAAATTGAAAGGTACTTGCCTATCTCCACGCCAAGTCCGCCCATCCCACTAAGGAACACATGAGATTGTGCCATCTTTTGCATGGCCGTATCACCCAGAACATACCTCTGTCGACTGAAAGACAATATAGGCATATAATTAACCAGATGGAAAAAGAAATCAAAATTAAGGTATAAAACAAGTTGGACTACTAACCCAATTCCTTTGAGCAAATCCTTAAAAGAACACTTCGGGCACCATAACTATGCCATTGAAACAAAGCTGTTATGGTGCAATGAAGCCCCCAACTTACCTGAAGGGGTTAAACCATTAATGAACGGTTTAACCCCAAAGTCTTGAACCCAACACCAGTCAGCTCTGCTCAGCTATGTCCATTGCAGTTAGAGACTTGAAACAGTAAGCCTTAAGACTGGGAGCTGCTAAAAGGCTGAGAGCATCCCAATTCACAAAACTAAATGAATGGAGAAGTTGTTATGGTGCCCAGAATGTCCCTTTTAAAAATGATCTGAAATCCAGTCTCATTAAGCAACAATAGCAAATGATTATTTCAAGGAATTTTTTTATTAAATCTTCAAAAAAAATCAGCGGAGATTAATAATTCAACCCCTGGAAAGAGAGCAGAGTCAATGCTTGGCAACTATGTTAATTACTTTACAGTGTTCAGTGTATAAAACTGAACTAGGCTGTCTATAAACTGAAAGCAGCACTTGTGTGGCTGCTACCAAATTATAAAAACATTCCACTCCTATGTGATGACAAACTACACAACCCATAAATCTTTGCTGTACGAGAATTCATAGAAGGCAAGACCCAGTGCTTATAAAAAAAAAAATCTATTTTTATAGCAGTGTAAAAAGCACAATGCACCATAAAAAATTGTTAATAAAATTAAAAAGGAAGAATACTTATAAATATGACTCTCCAAACACCAAAACCACTACATTTTAACATTTTGGTGTATAGGTGCTTCCCGTTTTGTCTGACAATGTAAAACATTGCTGCTTCTGAGAAAGGACAATGCGTTTATTTTGCCCAACTCATGCCTTTTTTTTTTTTTTTTTAAATGCATAAAGCAATTGTGATATAGGTTCTTTCCTATATTATGGAAAATACTATGAGATTTCCAGCGGGCTGTGACTTTATCTTCATTGAGCGAGTGCCTAGTGGGAATGAATTTGTATGGTGTTCATCTGAACTACAAGTATCAGACACCCCTGCACACAGCAAAACAGAGACTGTGGCTAGCGAGCTTTGCAATCTGCTGTTAGCTCCTCCCATTAATGAATGTGAAGATAAAATGACAGATTTATAGTGGTGATTTACCTTTGTGTTTAAGCTAGTCACAGTCACATTTGTAATGACTACAAATAGTGAAAGAGCTAGTGCCTCAATAACTTTACCCCTTTCGGTACTGGTTTCAACATGTTCAATCATTCACGTTTCACATATTCCTATAGCTGCTATTGATCAAAAAACTGCGAAATTACTGTGCATCAGTTCAACAATTTCTTTAATTTCCAAATTTTACTTAAAAGGTACAATATAGTTACCAGAACAACTACAGCTTATTGTATTAGTTCTGGTGAGTATAACCAGTCCCTTCAGACTTTTTGCAGCAAACCATGTCTTTTCAGAGAAAAGGCAGTGTTTACGTTACAGCCCAGGGGCACCTCTAGTGGCCCTCCAGATGGCTGCTAAAGGTGCAGCACTGCAATTCGGTGTATCCACCTTCTGCATGGAGACATTGAACTTTCCTCATAGAAAAGCATTTATTCAATACATCTCTATGAGGATCTGCCTCAGAGACAACAGCAGTTGACTGGTGTAAAGGTAAAATGTTACTATATTTAGGGAGGGCAATGCAGGGCCAGGCGTGCTAGATGGTGTTTTTAACACTATAGGATCATCAATACATTTGTATAGAGTTCCTTTAATCGTTACTAACCTGTACAAACCATCATCAATTTCCATGGAGTCTGCTGCCATTCTCAGATTCCTTTTTCTCCTGTAACATAGAAAATTAGGATTAGGATGGATGTTAAATGAGAAAAATTGTAAAATTAGATGCAGACAAAAATAATACAAAAATCTATGACCCAACATATTATTCATATTTTACACGTTATTTTAATTTAACTATTAAGCTTTTAACTGTTATAGGGAACATTTTGTTTGTTGACAGTATAGGTTAGTGAGCCATTGCAGGGCCTACCATTTCAGCAAAACATTTCTTACATTTGAGTGTCCCAATGCCAATGCATTGAGTATCAAGGCCTTATAAGGTCTGACAATAAAGGTGCACAACAATCAAAACACCAAGGAAAAGACAACAAGAATACATGAATTAAAACTTTTTCTAGCGGTTAACATAAATGTGAGCACTATATGATACTGTTTGCTTCCAATTCATTTAAATCTCAAGGGATGCCTTTAAAGTATGCTATTAAAAACATTGAGTGCCTTGACTTTCACTATTTCCTACCTGTGATATTGGTGGTTTGGTCACCACTACTGTCTGCAGAACCTTTCTTTTTGAATCTTTAAGAATAGTTCAGTTTCATTTGAGCGCAGTCCTATCTCTTTGTATGTATCGAAACTATATTTCATGACAGTCATTATGCAACTAATCCAGAGTTAATAATCAGCCAATAGCATGTATCCTCTGTATTATTAACAACACATTCATTCAAGAGAAAAAAAAAAAAAAGGATGCATAATGTATATCTTGTAAATTATTAATAAGAGATGAATGAATGTTAAGATGCTAATTAAGCTTGGTTTTTTTTTGTTCCCCAGGTAAAGAAACATATCAATTATATGAATGCAAAGCAAAGGATCTAAAGTCCATTTTTTACAACAAACATAGAAATGGACTCACTGCTAGAACCTACTGAACTGTCCTAAATATTGTATATTCTCGGCTTCCATTGCACTGCTTTTTTGCTGCAATATAGACAACTGCCTCTGAAAAGAGTTAACCAAGGGCTGTGAAACGTACGGCCTACGTAGCCCAAAATGGTGGCCTATGGAAGGATTGTTAGATCGGTCCCTGTGGCCCTTTAATAGGACACCAAACCGGGCCCCTGTCAAAGATTACATTTCTACCCAGGCCTGCTGGGAGAAAGAGTTCAGGTCACTTCCTTCCAGCAGGCACACACATACAGGATGCGGGAGGGAAACCTCCAACCTCGGATTTCCATCAACCTTGACCATCTTGCTCTCACTGGACCCCAGGGAAGACACCCTCTTGCACCCAATAGGCAAGGAAACAGGAGAGTGGCTAAAACTTAATGTGAACTGTTACTTTTATGTGTGTCTGTGTAAGTGTGTTTGTGTACATGTGTATCTGCATATGTGTCAGTGCATACAACCCAGCAATAAAATGCAATTAATGCACAAAAATAGAATCCTGCATTCATTACATGCAAACAAACACACAACTTAAAGGACCACTATAGGCACCCAGACCACTTCAGCTCAATGAAGTGTTCTGGGTGCTAGGTCCCTCTAGTTTTAACCCTGCAGCTGTAAACGTAGCAGTTTCAGAGAAACTGCTATGTTTACACTGAGGGTTAATCCAGCCTCTAGTGCAGTGATGGCGAACCTTTTTGAGTCCGAGTGCCCAAACCGCAATACATGTCAACTTTTTTTTCCTCAAAGTGCCAACACGGCAATTAAACCTGAATACTGAGATTTAAGTTCGGAAAAAACAACTCGTACAGTTGTCTGAACTAGTTAACATCTTTTGTTTTAAAAGACACAACAGAGTGCTCAATTATACAAATTTTAAATAATGATATTAATAGATAAAATTAAGCATATATTTATTAGTATCTCCAACAAATGCAATGCATACACACAGCTGAACACATTCACACACCGACTGCTTAATACATACACACAGACTGCTAAATACACACACAGTCCGTTAAATACAAACACACACACACACAAACATACACACAGCCCGCTGAATACACACACACACTGCTGAATACACACACATATACTGCATTGAGGGGTGCAGTGTATGTGTTTGTGTGTTGGGGGTGCTGAGTGTGAGAGGGGGTAGCGGTGCTGTGGGGGGGTAGGGTTGCAGGGCTTAGAGGTGCTGTGTGGGGGGCTAGGGGTGCTCTGTTGGGGGGGCTAGGGGTGCTCTGTTGGGAGGGGCTAGGGGTGCTCTGTTGGGAGGGGCTAGGGGTGCTCTGTTGGGGGCTAGGGGTGCTATGTTGGGGGGGCTAGGGGTGCTCTGTTGGGGGGGCTAGGGGTGCTCTGTTGGGGGGGCTAGGGGTGCTCTGTTGGGGGGGTAAGGGTGCTCTGTTGGGAGGGTAAGGGTGCTTTGTTGGGGGAGTTTAAGATACATTAAAAATGTTTTTTTTTTTTTTTTTAAAAGCATTCTGAATCAGTATTTCCCCCCCTCACCCCTCCTGTTCTCCCCCGCAATGCTGTGTGGAGCGTTGCCATGGTGTGGAGCAGTTTCCTAGATGCCTCCCCCCTGCTTCCGGTCCTGCAGACAAGGAAGCAGAGTAGGCGCCTGCCGTTTCGGGCAGGCAGGTGCCTACTCTGCAGTGATGCCAAACCTACGGCCGCGTTCCCACAGAGAGGGCCCGGCATGCCACCTGTGACACACGTGCCATAGGTTCGCCATCACTGCTCTAGTGGCTGTCTCCCTGACAGCTGCTAGAGGCGCTTCTGCGATTCTCACTGTGAAAATCACAGTGAGAAGTCACGGACGTCCATAGGAAATGTTTTTTTACTGTTGTAAGAAAGTAATCATTTACATTTACGACATTATGTAAAGTTGTTCTTTGTGCCTGTTTCTTTGTTTGCTCGCATGTGTATATATCAGTTGTATGCATTTGACCCTCCATACCCATTTCAGTGGACAACTTGGCCCTCCAGAACAAATAAGTCACATTTCTGGTTTAACATAAACAGATATTTCTATACAATATATAGGTATTTTGCCTAATTTATATTATAGTTTATTAAGTTTATTATTTTGCAATTTAAAGGGATTTCCCCCTCCCCCCCCCACTTATAAAATTCTAAAAAAAAGAACAAAAAACTTTTGTGTACGCAAGCACAATCTTGCCTCCTCCGATGTCATCCAACAGGGGAAGCAATGCGTTCCTATAGAGAGTACTAATGCACATGCGCAGTGAGCACATTGGGCCCTCCCTATAAAACATTGTTTAGATGCTTTCCTATGGGGATTTTAGCCACCAGGAAGTGCCTCTAGTGGATGTCTGCCAGCCACTAGAGGCATTCTTTGTCCTGCAATGTAATTACCGTATTTAATTATTGCAGTTTCACAAAAACTACAATGTGTTACATGGCAGGACTAAGTGGGACTGTGAAACTGCATCCAGACCACTTCAATGAGCTGATGTGCTCTGTGTAACCATAGTATCCCTTTAAGAAAGGATAACGGGAAATTAATTTTAGATTTGAATAACGCGTCCCAAGTGATGCAAGGAAAAATAAAGAGATACACAGTACATAAGTCACCAGGATTTACAAAATGTATTACAGCCTAGCCTTTCTAAAAGAATGAAAGAAAAAAAAAACAACAGAAGTAAACACAGAGCTAACATCTTAACAGCATTACCCGCTTCAACAACAAGTCTCAATCATGCAGAGATTCCACTGAGCAACAAGGATAATACAAATTAGTGGAGGAGGTAGAAATCGAAGAACAAGACATATGCAGTTAAAGAATAAAAAGGGAAAAAGAAAATTAGGAGGGCAGAAGGAAGATGGAATGAATAGGAGAGGATTCAATCAAGATACCGGGGAGCTGTAAGAAAGGGCAAGGGGAACCTGGCAGAGAATGGTGGAGGGAGGAATAAATGGTGAAGGGATTGGAAGAAGAAACAATACTGGTCTGGAGGTAAATCTGGGTAGAGACTATAGAAAGAAGAGAAAAAAAATAGGCAGGGTGTGAATAATGCAACAAAATTAAGCTATTGAAGAAAAACGTATATAGCAATTATAAAATATTTCTGATTTTTTTTTACATGCTACTTTTATTGGGTCAGGGACCACAGTATGTTGGTCAGTTAAAATCCAGTACTCTGTATCGAAGAACCTGGACTATACAGATCTATTAAGTTAAGTCTGTAAATATCATTTTAAAGGCTGGATTTTATAAGGTATCTTTGTTTTATGTATTAAAACCTACTGTAACAGATTTTGGGTAAAAAAAATAAAAAAAATTGTATAACAACGATTAAGTCTTTAGTTTACCATGTATCTATGATAAACACACAAGAAAATAGAAGCAAAGTATACAGAATTGGAATCAACACATGAGAAAGTTTCAGCCTTTGTCAAGTAACTAGCCAAATCAGATCTAAAATTGGTCTGGTGGGGATAGAAGATATCAACTTATTAGATTGTGTAGATCCCAAATGATGTGGAATATCTATGATAAACATGGACACTTGGCTTGGTGGATAATGTTGTTGCAACAAAGAATTTGAGTTACTAAGCAATGGAATGGGCAACAGTGCTGCGGGCAAGGGATTAATTGATAAAAATACAGAAATGCCAAGTCATTAACCATCATGTACGTATGAACTATACTCCCAACAATATTTGGTGTGGCAGTTAGCCTATCTAAATGAAGACAAAGTCATCCAGTCCATGCATATTGGCAGAACCTTGCAGATAAGAGCATTAAATAAAACTGCTTTGCGTGCCAATTAAGAATGCTGCACCAATGCATAGTAGTGGAGTTTGTGTTGCTAGGAGACAGGCCAAGGGCAGGAGGCAGTGAGAGAAAAAAATAAAAACAGGGCGCAATCGAATGGACGATGACACAACAGAAGGGCAGAAGAGATGGAAGAAAGAAAAAAAATATATTTTGGTAGGGCATAAGAGAGATGTGAAAGTGACATAATGTGAGGGCAATAAACATGGAACAGTGACATGATGGGAACTGGTGAAGATCAAACTGATTAACAGGAAGAGTTCTGGTTAAAGCCCCAGAGTTGAGTACCGTAAGTTACTCTAAAATCAATTTTATAAATTTATCTGAAATATTATGGTAACAATCATTTATGGGTGGTCTTCATCATCATTATCCCTATGGAAAAAAAAATTGGTATAGAGATTTAAGACATATTAAGGTAACTAGAGGTTTAAGAAAATACACTCTCAGCCACCATCAAGGTACAGATCAGAATAGCCCCAATATTTCATAGCTAGAGTGGGATGTAGCAGTAATGATAGTGAATAAGGCTGTTCTGGCTAACAGTACACAGACATTATAAAGTGCTGGCTGCAAGCTCCAGCACTGGAGTTACTGTCACCCACAATAACCCACAAAGAGCACCAAAAGGGATGCACACATTGATATTTATCATTTTAAGTCATTCAAGTGAGCACCTTCCCCACTCCCATTAAACGCTCTCCTCCCATGGACATGTGTCAGCAGGTTTGTGCCGCAGCATGAAGCAGGGCTACAAGGTCTCAGCTAAGGGCCGTGATGGCTATGGCCCTTTCCGCCCAGATCCACCATGGACTGTGTTTATTAAACCTGCGGCCGATATAATGTCAGGGGAGAACAGTAGGTGCACTACTGACCTGGGCTGGTACTCCCACAGTTCCGTGTCGGCCGGGAGAGGAAGATGTGAAAGGGGGAAAGGATGTGAGAAACTACAACTCCCGTCATGCCTTGCGGCGGTCAGGGCGGAAGAGGAACACGATTCAAATCACGGTAGCTTTATTTGAATGCTACACTACAGTGCAGCTAGTTTAGATAGAGAACATGGTTATAGCGAGACAAAAATCGGTATGGGACAAAAACACTGCACTGTTGCTGTGTCCATGGGCAAATGGATGGGTGGTATGGGGTCTATATTTTGGGGTCCAGAAGTCCTGATTTCCCCATATATTTGTCTTAAATTTTCTGTCTAATGCATGAAATTAAACCAATGTTTCCAAACAAAGCAGAAGCATATGGAAAATCTGTGGTGAAAACAAGACTTTTGGAAACCAAAATATAGCCCACTTACACATGAACAAATGACGTACCTCCCAACAATTCAAATAGACAAAGAGGGACACTTAATTAAAAGCGGCACTGTCACCCTCTGCGGACTTTGCCAAATTTGCAAAAAAAAACTAGATGGTAACACCGCTGCTGGTGGTCCGGGGACATGTAAAGGTGAGATTTACTTACCTAAACCGGTCCCTCGTGGGTGCCGCAATCTTCCTCCGGCTGTGTCCTTTGCACATGCACAAGAGAAGAAATTTATGGAGGATCCCGTGACACTCTCCACAGACAGAGCCAGGTCCCTGCAGCCGTCATAGCTGTAGGGATTGACACTGTAGAGTTTAAGAAAGTCAGGTGATGGAATTATACAAAGACAAAATAGTCCCTACTTTGTCTCTGTATATCTCTTGACTAGGTTGTTATTTTAGTGTAATTCCAACCAGTGGCGGATCCGTGGGGTGGGAGGGGCAATGGGGCAATTCTCCCCCATACACACAGTGCTTCCCCACACAAACATTGCACCCCCATAAACACAGTTCCCCAACTGCACTTCTATAAACACACTGCCCCCACTACACCCTCATACACACACTGGCCCCATACACACACAGTGCTCCCACAGCACCCCACATATACACACTGCACCCCTCACACAAACACACACTGCCTCCTACACACAGTGCTCCCACTGCACCCACCCCCATACACTCACTGCCTCCCATACACACACACACACACACACACACATTACTAGAGGCCCTGTCCTGGCAAACCCCAGGTAAATTGTCAAACTGTTCTTAAACAGTTTGACTATTTACTCTGGGAGGGTGCCACGGCACTCCTGGCACCATAACCACTACAGAGAGCTGTAGTGGTTATTGTGCCTGGATTGTTTCTTTAAATAATCTATGAGTGCCCCTCCCGAGATAAGACTCTGGATCCGCCAGTGATTCCAACACAGTCAAAATTAGTATTTCACAAAGATTCTATCGTTAGGAAGTACAATTTTTTTTTTGGGGGGGGGGGTTTGGAGGGGGTGACAATTTTAGTGGTGTGAGTGGGGATGTTGCCATGGGCAGGGCTGTTCTGAGAAATGTTAGGTTTCTTACTAATAAGTAAAATGTAATTTAGAAAAATCACAATGTATCTTATTTACACAGACTGATTTCTAAACACATTTATTGTAGTTTAAAGACAAGTTAATGTGAATACTATATCTGTGGAGCTTGGTTATATACTCAGACACCAAGAATATGGAGCTCCCACGAAAGAGTTACATTAGGACAAAGGATTCTGGTCCAAAATAGTGACTGTGCATCCTGAAAAAGAATGCTTGGAACAGTGGCAGCTTGTGAAGTTTTAAGATGGCAGGGTGCCAGACTCCTCCCCCAGAATTAGATCTAGCTATTTAACTTTGTAGTGACCATTTTCTAACCTGGGACATCTGTCCACTTATTCCCATGTACTCATTATCTAATTGTAGATCCTATTTAATACAGTGACACACAGGGCCAGCCTTTGGGTGTGCGAGCTGTGCTCCTGCACACAGTGTTCAACTGACACAGAAAGTGATACTCATGTGCACAACATAGATGCCAGGCTTCCTCTCCCCTTGTGCAGACAGTCTCCACGCTCTTCCAGACCCAGAATGAAAAAGATTTTTTGTTTTTTTCTTAAAGTACCCTGATAGTCAGTGCAGCATCTTGTTGGAGTCGTCCTTTTACCTTGCATGCTCTGCGCGACTCTACTCTGTGATGAAGGTTGCTGTGTGTGCACCAATAGGGAAATTTATAATCCCGCCAGCTCTACAACATAACCTGACAGAGCATACTTACTCTGACTCCCATGCTGCCCAGCCATGCTTCAAAGCTAAGGAGATGGAGGCACAGGGAGAGATGTGGGGCACAGATGAGAATAAACATGAGGAGGGGTATGTACACAAAGAGGTAGCATGAACATAAGGGTTTTTATGGACTCAAGTAGGGATATATTCACATAGAAGGGACAGGAGTAAAGAAGGGGAACATGAACAAAAGGGGATATGGACACTAGAGCCACATGGGAAGGACATACACGCAAGGATGAACAAAGGGGCCTGGATTAAAGAGAGATGGGGGGGATAAGGACACAAAATGAGACCAGGAAGGGTCACGGACACACATGGTGGACATTGGCACAATTAGGACAAGGGGGCATAAAGGGGGGACATGGCCACAAGGGGAGACATAGATGCAAGTGAAAATATGAACAAATGAGGGTTACATGGACACAAGGAGTGATATGGACACATGAGGGGGACATGGAAACCTAAGAGGTCAGAAGAACATGGATACAAAGGGAGACATGGACATATGGGGGGCATGGCACAAGGGTGGATATGGGCAAGGGTAACAATGGGATATGGCCACAATGGAAGACATGGGGACATAGACACAAAGGGAGAATATTAACACTGAGGGGCAAGGACACAATGAAGATGTGGGGACATGGACACAAGGTGGGAACATGGATACATGGGGACATAGAAACAATGAGCAGAGACACAAGGCGGTCATTTTCACCGGGGTAATAGGGATATAAACACAAGGGAGATGGGGATATAGGCAAAAGTGGTGTATGGACACAAAGGATACATGAGCATATTTTGTGATGTCTTCCTAAAGCCTCAAAATCTAGAGCCTCCTCTGCACTTGAGCTCCAGCCAATGAGAGTGTTGCCGCACTACACCCTATCTACACAAAGTATAGGGGTGTATGTTCATACACAGACTATATCCCCATGCACACACACTGTACCTCTATACACAAACACTACAGCACCTATATATACACAGATAACAGATCCTAATACACACAGTGCCCGCAATCTACAGCTACAGGCCTTGTAAGACCTTACTCCTGCAATTTTTCAAGTCAGAAAATGACCATGAAAAAATCATTGGTATCTGTCCCCAAACAGTGCCCGCACAAACCTAAGGCGGGACAAGTGACTTCCCCTAGCTTTGGGGGATCTCACTTGGCAGAGTAGGTGCTCGCCAACCCACACAACAGGTTCATACTGTGCCCAAATACACTAGCAGAGAATTTGAAGGGTGACAAGGGAGTCACATACTTACTCTGCTCTTCCTGCACAGCTTCCTCTTGTTCCCACATCCATTATATGATATCACCCCCGTTATATGATATCACTACAATGCACAAATGGCAGCTGTGTAGGAACAGTATAGTATAGTATAACAGTATAGTGAAGCAGGCAGCAACCACTACCCACCAGGGAGAGGATTGGCATGTATCTCTACATAAGTAGGATAATGTCAACTTTTAGATTTTCTAACATACAAATTTAGCAATGTTTCTGGGTGTATGTCTGTGATTTTGTGTATGTCAGTGTTTATGTGTGCATGTGGTGTATGTGTGCATGAGAATGTGTATATGTTTAGTAGATATTTTTGATTAATATCTTTAATATAGCAATCACATATAAGGGAGCATACTACTAAACAGCTGAAAGAAAGGGCTTTTTAAAATTTTGATATTTCAGCTGCTTAGTAGATAGCGCTCTAAATTGGTATCCTTATGTGGGCCTGCCATATTTAATGATACAAAATTAGGGCACTGTCTAGCAAATCACTTCCTTATTTGGTATCCCTAAATATGTAAATCCCACATAAGCATATGAAATTAGGGAGCTATCAACTAAACAGCTGAAGGAACAAAATTTAAAAATACCTTTTAATTTTGACCTTTCAACTGTTTAGTAGATAGGTCCCTAATTTGCTATCATTAAATATGGAAATCCCATATATAACAATATAGAGGAAGGCAGCCCTTCATCTATTTAAGCCTTGGCCCTCACGGGGGGCGTATGCAAATGAGCGCAACAAAGAACCAGTAACCAACCTCATGCTGATGAGTTGCATTAACAACGAAACAGCTGTCCATGAGTGGTTCACTGGCTTGGCTCCTCTTCCTGAGTTTTGTTTCAAAGCTGTTGTATACAGCAGACACATACTCCAAGGAATCAATGTATAAAGTGCAAAAATTTGGTTCTTTGTTAAGCTAATTTACATATGTCTACCTAGAATCCCTTGCAGTAGTGAGAGCACTGTTAAAGTGATATTTCTGTGGGGAAAGCAAGTCTTATGGCTTGACTGGTGTGTGTGTATTTGTGTTTAGCAATGTATTAACTATCCACTTACTTCAGGAGGAAGGGGTTCTCATCCACACTTTTCCCCCACCATAACTTTTTTGGGATATATATATATATATATATATTATTAATATATATATATTTTAATTGTAAGTGCATGTAATATTAAAGGATTACTATAGTGTCAGGAAAACACTATAGTGCCCCGAGGGTGCCCCCACCCTCAGGGACCCCTCCCGTGGCGCTGAAGGGGTTAAAACCCCTTCAGCCACTTACCTTAATCCAGCGCCGGGCTCCCTCGGCGCTGGTGACCTCTCCTCCCCCGCCGACGTCAGCTCCCCTGTCACTGGAGCCGAAGGCGTATGTCTGGCAAGTGTCGCGCGCGCATTAAATGTGTCCATAGGAAAGCATTTCTCAATAGAGGCTGGATTAACCCCAAATGTAAACATAGTAGTTTCTCTGCAACTGTTATGTTTGCATCTGAAGTGTTAAAACCTGAGGGACATTGCACCCAGACCACTTCATTGAGCTGAAGTGGTCTGGGTGACTATAGTGTCCCTTAAATATATACCATTATATATATTAAAATACACTTAGAATGAAAGTGTGTGTGTATGTCTGCATACTTATTTTATATATATATATATATATATATATTGTGACGAGAGCAATCTCACCACATTGCATTGGAGGAGCCTGGTTGCCCGCCTGTTCCCTTTAGACTACGGCCCCATGTTGAAACGCTTGATTTTCCCCTGCAAAGACACGGAAGCCGGGTCATTCGGTGCTTGCCCTGTTTGAGCAGTGATACCCCAGATAGCTATGCCATTCGTATAATGAAAGACTATGGGAAAGACTTTTGCTCCATGGAAATTTAACTGTATGTGTGTGATCTGAGCGCCATTCAGTAATAATGTGCGCTCAGATCTGAGCTATCTGGGGATATGTTGAATGTACCTGTTTTATGCAATGGCTGCACAGTTATATATTTTTATTGTCTTTTGCTGCGTTCAATGGAGTTTTGCCTCTGTCCTTGGAGATAATTGGATTACAATTATCTCCAGGATAGAAGACTCTGTGGAACTGGTTTTGGGCAGAAAAGCCATGCTTCATTTGGTCACAAAGGACTACGATCGAACTTTTGAACCACTGGACCAATTTGTATGATTTTGATGTATGTTTGTATTTGGAGTATGCTGATTCTGAAAATGTAATGCATACTTTTAAAATTATGAATAATGTGGAAAAACTGTATTTCTCTGCCTGTGATAATTACATTACCCATTGTGTAAGGTAATTGTATCACAGGCAGAGGGGAGGATTTTGTGTGGGAGTGTCTGAGTGTATTGTACGTGTTTATTGGTTGTTTTCCAAAACCCTGTGGGTGGTACTAATGTGTAAGAATGTGTATATAAGAACAATAAACTCACAGCTCTGTCTATTCACTGCTTGAACCTCAACACAGAGCTTTGTCTCGTTCTTGGGGGGGATTTATTGTATGATGTTCTAGTTCGACTGCTAGGAGTGTAAACCTTTCGTATGGTTTTTCCTATTCGGCTGTTTACAGCATTCGTATGGTGTCATGGGGTAACACTTCTGGTTTTGGCACTCCGCTGGGCGGAGCCGGACCCCGCCCCCTCTGACACAGCTCTGACGGTATTTAGGGAGACTGGGCCAGAGAGAGGGTGCTTGGTGATTGTGTGTGAGCTGCCTCCGCGAGACCGCGGGCTCCACAAGCTCAGCTACTGGGAGCTACTTCTGCCAGACTTACCTCTCCACAGACTCTGGCAATGTGGGTCCTACTTCCGAATATGCACGCCAGCTCTACAAACTCTGAAGTCGTCCTAGCCTTCTGGACTAAGACAAGTATGCTTCATGTCATAGAGGATTACTGGTGAACGAAAACTCACTTACTTTACAAGTGGACCATATCCCTGAATTATTGGAGGACTACTCATATTAACCTTAAGTATATCTTTCAGCTATTGGTCTACAATATCATTTAATAATGAACTAATGCTTGCTTATTCAAATCTTCATTGCTTCAAGCTACTAATTATACGGAGGACAACTCCTATCATGCTTATTAACTATGAACTGTTCTTGCTTTACAAATACTCAGTGCTTCAAGCTACTAATTATACGGAGGACAACTCCTATCATGCTTATTAACTATGAACTGTTCTTGCTTTACAAATACTCAGTGCTTCAAGCTACTAATTATATGGAGGACAACTCCCATCGTGCTTATTAACTATGAACTGTTTCTTGCTTTGCAAATATACTCATTGCTTCAAACTAATTATATGGAGGACAACTCCCATCATGCTTATTCACTATGAACTGTTTCTTGCTTTGCAAAGACACTCAATGCTTCTAGCTACTAATTATATGGAGGACAACTCCCATCATGCTTATTCACTATGAACTGTTTCTTGCTTTGCAAAGACACTCAATGCTTCTAGCTACTAATTATATGGAGGACAACTCCCATCATGCTTATTCACTATGAACTGTTTCTTGCTTTGCAAATACACTCAGTGCTTCTAGCTACTAATTATATGGAGGACAACTCCCATCAAGCTTATTCAATATGAACTGTTCTTGCTCTGCAAATATTCTTAGCTACTTGCTTATTGTTTCTATTGAAGATTATTCTCATGAACTTAAAGAATGTTACTTAATGCATCTCTGAGAAAATACTTAATAATGAACTTTGTGTTGTTGATTACTTGCACTTCTTCTTATTGGATTATTGCCTAAATGCAACTCATTTAAGTTTAACACTTATTAAAACTTCGGTTGAATCAAGTTACCAGTGATTCTCTCTTTTCTTAAAGTTACAGTATTGATACTTTAAAGATTCTCAGTTTCTTCACAATTGTAATTAGGGAGTTTACAAGCTGCATTTGTGTTCCAATCCAAATTACCCAAGTAGCGTAACATATGGTTCCGGTTCGGCTGTTTACAGCATTCATATGCTTCTCCGTTCGGTGGAATGGTGTCTTTGGTAGCTGCCTGTGTATCTGGAAGGGGAATATCCTCTTAATGGCGGTTTAACCCCTTTTATGCCTGGGGGTGCCGTTAAATATATATATATATATATATATATATATATATATATATATATATATATATATATATATATACACTGCTCAAAAAAATAAAGGGAACACAAAAATAACACATCCTAGATGTGAATGAATTAAATATTCTTCTGAAATACTTTGTTCTTTACATAGTTGTATGTGATGACAACAAAATCACACAAAAATTAAAAAATGGAAATCAAATTTTTCAACCCATGGAGGTATGGATTTGGAGTCACACTCAAAATTAAAGTGGAAAAACACACTACAGACTGATCCAACTTTGATATAATGTCCTTTAAAACAAGTCAAAATGAGGCTTAGTAGTGTGTGTGGCCTCCACGTGCCTGTATGACCTCCCTACAATGCCTGTGCATGCTCCTGATGAAGTGGCGGATGGTCTCCTATGGGATCTCCTCCCAGACCTGGACTAAAGCATCTGCCAACTCCTGGACAGTCTGTGGTGCAACGTGACGTTGGTGGATGGAGCGAGACATGATGTCCCAGATGTGCTCAATTGGATTCATGTCTGGGGAACAGGACGGGCCAGTCCATAGCATCAATGCCTTCGTCTTGCAGGAACTGCTGACACACTCCAGCCACATGAGGTCTAGCATTGTCTTGCATTAGGAGGAACCCAGGGCCAACCACACCAGCATATGATCTCACAAGGGGTCTGAGGCTCTCATCTCGGTACCTAATTGCAGCCAGGCTACATCTGGGGAGCACATGGAGGGCTGTGCGGCCCCCCAAAGAAATGCCACCCCACACCATTACTGACCCACTGCCAAAGCGGTCATGCTGAAGGATGTTGCAGGCAGCAGAACGTTCTCCACGGAGTCTCCAGACTCTGTCACGTCTGTCACACATACTCAGTGTGAACCTGCTTTCATCTGTGAAGAGCACAGGGCGCCAGCAGCGAATTTGCCAATCTTGGTGTTCTCTGGCAAATGCCTAACGTCCTGCACAGTGTTGGGCTGTAAGCACAACCCCCACCTGTGGACGTCGGGCCCTCATACCACCCTCAGGGAGTCTGTTTCTGACCGTTTGAGCAGACACATGCACATTTCTGGCCTGCTGGAGGTCATTTTGCAAGGCTCTGGCAGTGCTCCTCCTGTTCCTCCTTGCAAAAAGACGGTGGTAGCTGTCCTGCTGCTGGGTTGTTGCCCTCCTACAGCCTCCTCCACGTCTCCTGATGTAGTGGCCTTTCTCCTGGTAGAGCCTCCATGCTCTGGACACTACGCTGACAGACACAGCAAACCTTCTTGCCACAGCTCGCATTGATGTGCCATCCTGGATGAGCTGCACTACCTGAGCCACTTGTGTGGGTTGTAGACTCTGTCTCATGCTACCACTAGAGTGAAAGCACCGCCAGCATTCAAAAGTGACCAAAACATCAGCCAGGAAGCATAGGAATTGAGAAGTGGTCTGTGGTCACCACCTGCAGAACCACTCCGTTATTGGGGGTGTGTTGCTAATTGCCTATAATTTCCAGCTGTTGTCTATCCCATTGCACAACAGCATGTGAAATTGTCACTCAGTGTTGCTTCCTAAGTGGACAGTTTGATTTCACAGAAGTGTGATTGACTTGGAGTTACATTGTGTTGTTTAAGTGTTCCCTATATTTTTTTTTTTTGATCAGTGTGTGTATATATGAGGGGCCTGCCTAACAACCCAGGCAGAAGGTCAGGAGAATTTAGTTAGCAAGCTCTCTAATTATAACCGTGTAACTTTCTAAAACACCATAAAACCTGTATATGGGGGTACTGTAGTACTCGGGAGACGTTGCTGAACACAAATATGAGTGTTTCAAAACCGTAAAACTTATCGTAACAATATCATCAGTGAAAGTGCTGTTTGTGTGTGAAAAATGCAGAAAAACAAATATGAACGCAAACTTAAGGCCAGGTTTGCAACTAAGTGACTACTAAAAAAAGACTGGTTATACCCCATTTTTAATATCCTGGGTTGTCTACTTTTGCGAATGGTATGCCATAATGTAGTAATTTTTATCCCTGGGCTGCCATATGGTCTCAAAGGCAACATAGGCCCAGCAAACCAATCTGGCAAATCTCAATGTGTAAAAACTACAAAGAAGAAAACGTCCTATATTTGACCCTGTAAGTTTCCATAACCCTATACAACCTGTGCACGGGGATACTGTTGCACTTGTCAGACATTGCTGAACACAATTATGTGTTTTTTATTGCAGTAAAAGCTAACAGTATTATGACATTCACAGTTAAAATGCCATGCAGAAAAAAAAAATCATACTTTTCTTTTTATATTTTATTCATACTAAATTATGTTTTATATATAAATATTTGATGTGAACTGAAAGCCCTGTTTCTCCTGAACAAAGTGATATAGAATAAGTGTGGGTGCACTTAATATGAAAGAGGTAAATGTTGGTTGAACAGACATATAGTAAAAATGTTTTATTTTGATCAGAACTTATAATAAAAAAATACCTTTTTAAAGAACCTAAAGCTTCTCCACTACATAGAACACTACAAGCACCATAACCACTACAGAGTGCTATATTTGTTTTGATGCCAGGAATGGTCAGTCATTGTAAGTAGCCAAACTGTTTGCAAGCCTGTTAACCACTTACTTTGGGATTTAGTCTAGTTCCTATCCAGTAGAAGGAACCTGTCCTTTGTGAGGATAGGAAATGGCTTGTTCAGTGCAAGTAAGCTAGGTCCTATCCTTCTAAAGGACCTTTTTGTCCCTAGTGGTCAGGTCCTGTATAGAGATTGGAACTATCCAGCTCACACTGCGAGAGCTAGTTCCTATCCTTCTAAAGGACCTATTGCTCCATAGTGTTCAGGTCCCCTTAAAGGATAGGAACTAGCCAGTTCTCAGTGAGAAATCTATTGCTCATCCAGCATAAGGACCTTTTGTACCTCCATCTAGCAATGGTCAATTACAGGGATAGGAACTAGACAGTTCACAGTGCAAAATCTAGTTCCTATCCAGCAAAAGGACCTTTATAGCTCCAACTTACACTGGTCCCTTACAGGGATATGTACAACAAATTATCCCTTTACACCACACCAGTGTATAACAATGATAAAGCTACTTAAGCTTGAAATTGCAGCTTCCCAAGGTCCCTTCCCTGTTGGTGACCTCATAAAAATGATACAATATAAAAATTGTGATACAGCTGAGTATCCAAGAAAAAAAGATAAATAATAGTGCAACATTGTTAAAAATCAAAGCGTGGTGCCCCCACTAATTGTGGAACTCACAGACTCCAAATGTTTAAGGCGCCTTAAGGTTGCCTTCCCTCTGTGGGAGGTCAGGATTCTCTGTATGTTGATCGTACTCCGAGCAGCAATCAGGAACCAGGTAGTAGGTATAAAGAATTTATTAACTCCAAATGTGTTAAAAAGATATAAAAACAAATAGGTCACTGGCCATGCATTTCGTTTCAAAGAAACTTCCTCAGGGACCATAGTAAAAACAATTACAAATAAAACACTCCGTAACAATCAAATGTCCTACCCACTCCCTGTTCTCATTTATTTATATAGGGATGTTCCGGATGTCCTCCGGTGTGTATTGGGGGCGTTGCTCACTCCCCTACCAATTGCTCTAAAGTGTACACCACAGTGTGTTTACCTTTAGTTTTTACTGCTCGGAACAGCATAAAATACATTCTAAATTAAACACTATACAATTAAGCAGGTTTAAAATGTGAATATTTTACACAGTGCCTGTAGGGAGGCTGTATAAAATCCCAGCCAGGGGACATCTGGCTGGGGCTGCATAAACGGAAACAAAAATTATTTAAGCCTAAATGACATAAATTAGCAGTGAGACATGGGACATAATCTACCCACCAAAAGCACTTCAATAAACTAGAGTTGTTTTGTGATTAGAGTGTCCCCTTAAATAAAAAAATAAAAGTTTTTTTTATATATATATATATATATATATATATAAATGTTCTAAGCACGGAGGTAAAGAAGAAGTTGGGTGGGTTACTTCTTTGCAGTTTTTTTGCCATGGCTAAACTTCTGTGCCAGAATATCATACAATTGTATGATGACTGAAATCTGTTGATCTAATGACTATTTGACAACAAGTTATACTGTTTCAAGTTCAGTGACATTATCTACACCAATTGGAGAAATAAAGTCCAGTCAAGCTGGTCAAATACCCAGTTGTGGATCTAAAAGTTGTGGTGTTCACCTTGTTCTAATAAATGTGCCTATGCATTGGAGTGCCTGGACCTTTCTTTAATTGGTATTTAAAATGAATAGGGCTGGTGCTGGCCCTTGGTCTGGTGGCACGCATATGTGGCTCATGTGACTGAGTGCAGTTTTTTTTGTGACATACATGCAGTACAGTAGAATTATACACACATTTTATGGTATCCTTTAATTAACATTGCAATTCGTTACAAAAGTTTGTACTCATACAAAAGGAACGGTTACTCCAAAAGTAACTGTAGTTTCTAATAACTGCTATGTTTGTTTTTTGCATCACAAAAGAAAGTTCTGACATAGCCTGGTACACAATGTAAATTCTAAATTTGCTATATTATTCCCTGTGTGAAACCTGTGACCATATGAGCTTGTACTCATTTAGATTTCTTTGTACAAAAAAAGGCAAATGTGATTTTTCTTTCTGTATATATCACATAGAGAAATAGCTGTAAATCAGTGGATCTAGACAAGGGTTCAACAGGCCGAATAGATAGAAGAAGTGGTTCATTGGATCGGATACTTTCGTCATCATCTCCGGCTCAAACCAGTACCAAATTCCGAGAACATAGTATGGAGTCCAACAAACAATGAACAAAGATGCAAACGCCACAGTCATCTTTAAGGTCTTTAGACGAGCTTGAGGAATGTTATTCTTTGTTCGATTCAGTTCTAATTCTAACACAAAGCAAAAAGAACATTAATATTTGGTATATATGGATATGTCATTGAAAAATTTAACCTTTAAATAAAACTTCAAAATATTTTATCCAGCACTCAAAGGGTTAGAAAATAATTTGGAAAAACTCAGAGTGTCAGCCCTGCCCATTTGGCCTATGGCCAATGCCCAATTCCCACATGCCACCCCTTAGCACTTATGGAGACATACATAAAGACACTTACAGTTAGATACTTACAGACACATACACAAACAAGCATATGCAGACATAGGTATACACAGACCAGTACACACAGGCATTTAGATACAAATACCAGCTATACAGGCATACATACACACATTTTATAGTGTGTATGCTTGTGTATTTGTTTCCAGTTTCACTACTTGCATGTCCTCTTTGTAGAGGAAGAAAGGGGGGAGAATCCAAAAGCCTTTCCCTTTATAATATACAGAGGAAGAGGAGGCACTGACCGCCAACCCTGCACTTCTAGCCCCAGAATCCTTGTGCTATTGTTGCCATGCTGCTTTTCCCGGCCAATTCTTCTTGAGGAGTCTTGGCCTGGATCAAAAGCAGTATGTTGATAGACACCAATAAGCTGATTTTGCGCTTGGACTGACTTAACAGTACTAGGAGAAAGAGCAGTATGTCAACAAGAGAGATTTGCTGCCTGGGCTAGAAAATTTGGGCTGCAACATTCCCTGAAATGTTCTATACCCGTTTGTGACCGTTGGCTACATTCACTTCACTACATTCCCTCTGGATGTTAGTTACTTGTTAGCATCATTGTATTGATAGTTCACAAAAATTCTGCTATTGGTTATAAGTGCTTTAGTGGCATTACTGCTTAATGTTAAATATTAACCTGTCAAGAGATTGTAGATACAAATATGCTATAATTCTATACAGTGATGGCACATATGTACTCACTTTTGCCATCTTGGTGTAGCACTTGAGTCATTGTGAGGATGATAATGGAGTTGCATACCAACATGAGGAGTAGAGGAATTATGAATAGGCAGCCAAAAGTGAACAAGTTATATAAAGTTTGTTGCCACCTCTTTGGGAAACTTCCATGTGTGACACACTGAGAAAAGGATCCCCCGGCACTGGAACTGTCCACGATGGAGATCACCCTGAAAATAAACAACTGAGCTTGGGAGTTATCAGGCAGATGCATTTTTATGTGAGGTTAGAACTGGTTAACAAGCATTTTTATAGAAATGAGAAATTCTAAAATATATGTTTTAGGGGTGAAGGAATTTCCATTTATAATTCTCAGTACATGTGGGACAAGCAATATTGTACAATTAAATAGCTGTAAATAATCAAAAAGGGCACTATAAACACCATAACAGCTTATAGTTCTCAGCCTATCACTACTGTCCAAGGTTGGTCAACTTTGGACGTTTAACCCCTTAATGGCATCCTATGACCAAATTGGCAATCTAAAACACAGCCTGCAGGGGCACAGTCTGGGTAGTCAGGCAATCACCCATGCTAAAAAAAAAGTTTAAAAAATAAAAATACGAATGCCCAAAAGGATAAAAGTAAAGATAGAGCCTGTCTTGTTCTTGCCCTGGTGCATAATAGACAAAGTATAGATGCCAGGAAAGAGCACACTCAAGGTCATGCAAAGCAAATCTTCAATCTTTATTTTCAAATGCTAAACAGTCTCATAGTTTCAGTTCCATGCTGGACTTTTTTTTTTTTTTAAGTTCTTGAAAAAAGTATGGTAGCCCAGCAATGAAAATTACCCCCACGATGGCATACCATTTGTAAAAGTAAACAACCCAAGGTATTGCAAATGTCCAGTCTTTTTTTAGTAGCCACTTGGTCACAAACACTGGCCAAAGTTGGCATTCAATTTAGGTTTTTTGCATTTTTTTCACACAACAAATATGAATTCTAACTTTGTGACTGTTGTACTCGGGAAACTTTGCTGAACACAAGTATGAGTGTTTCAAAACCGTAAAATGTATTGTAACAATATCATCAGTGAAACTGCTGTTTGTGTGTGAAAAATGCAAAAAAAAACAAAACAAATATGAACACAAACTTAAGGCCAGGTTTGCAACTAAGTGGCTACTAAAAAAGACTGGACATACCCCAATTTGCAATACCTTGGGTTGTCTACTTTTGCAAATGGAATGCCATCATAAGGGTAATTCTCATCTCTGGGCTACCATACGGTCTCAAAGGCAACAGAGCCAATCTGGCAACTTTCAATGTGAAAAAAAGGAAATTCAAGCCTTAAATTTGACTCCATAACAGCATAAAACCTGTACATGGGGGAACTGTTTTACTCGGGAGACTTAGCTAAACACAAATTAGTGTTTAAAAATAGTAAAACGTAGGTCCTGGTGGAGCGGACCGGTCACCATTTTTGCTTGCTCCGGAGGCCACTACTCGAAACTGCCCAAAATTGTGAGCCCTGCTGAACATCTATAGGTGTAAGTGCCAGAACCTACCTATATACCAATATTTCTCAGACCCGCAGCGGAACGGCTGAAATACAGACTTCCGGCGTACCTTGGAGTGCCGCGCATCAGCCTACCCGAGTAACCCAGATCCGACCTGCAAATACAGATACTGGAGCCTGATCCCACAGTTAGCCCAGCTGCAACGACCTACCTCTGCCTCCTTCCGTAACTGATTGCTGGCGGATGCCTTTCCTGTACGCAGAGCTGGAGCCTGCTCCAGCCTACAAGACCTGGTCACCTCACCACTGTGCTCTGACCTGTTTCTTGAGTACCCAGCAATATTAAAGGGACACACAGCACCAGGCTAGCAGTACCCACAAGATGGTCTGGAGAACACACCTGCAAGTATGAGCAGAGATACACAAGACATCGGCACCATGCTATTTCGCCCCAACATGGTTGACATACCTGACTCTGAAGTGGGCTCCACATGCTCTGACATTCAGCAGAGAGAGCACATGGACTCACAAACAGCCAGCTCGGTGGAGACAGTACTCAGAGATGCTCAAGCACCTGCAACAAAGCAGGACATTCAAAAGCTTCTACTTAACATGCGGCAAATGTTTACGGCAGATCTAGATCTAATTAAGGTGGAAGTGCAGGGGGTGACCGCCCGCATTCAGTCTTCAGAAGAAGATAACCTAGACACACGACATGAAATGTCAAATATGCATGAAACCTTACACCAGGTACAGTCTGCACAAGCAACTATGGCTCTAAAACTGGACTTAACTGAAGACCACAGCAGACGGGCCAACCTTAAAATTAGGTGCATCCCTGACACCGTCGACTCGAATGAGCTCCCGCATTATCTCAGACGCGTCATGGCAGAGTTACTACCTTCTAATCAAGCTAAACGTGTTGGGTTTGATGGATTTTTCCGGATCAAGAAATCAGCGCAGGCCTCCTCTGCTGCCCCATAGGATGTAATCGTCAGATGCCAATCTCTCACAGATAAAAACCGCATCTTTGCTGCAGTACGGGGCAAAACACCCTATGATTTTGAGTCCGCACATCTGTCTTTCTTTCAGGACTTGACCAGGAACATGTTACAATGGAGAAGAGCTATCGGCCCAATCACTCACCAATTGCAGAATGCAGGAATTGACAATCGGTGGTCAACATCTAGATCACCGACTGTCACTGGCACCTACATTCCTACAAGCCCTGGGACTTCCATATACACCAACGACCCCAGCGCCCACACCCGCTCAACATGTTTGGGACCCTGAGAGAATAGCACCCTTTGTTTCTAAGAATGGAAGTGGAACAGAGAGCATAACCTGAACCCCTTAAATACTGCCACGCATGACATTATCTTATTGCATTTTGTTGTTAATAATTTCGTTTAGTGTTTTGTGTTATCTTTTTCTATCACTCAACAGCAGGGTTTTTCTCTAACCACATTAGGGCTTAGTGCTCCCCTGAACATAACTCCCTCCCCCCTTGATCCCCATAGGTTAGCTCACACATGCTACATACCCTAAGTACGATACATACCATGAGACACTCTAGGCACATGTCCAATCGACTTTAAAATCACAGGACAGTGACTAACATACAAGTACAGTTATCACACCTGTGCACGTGATGCCCACACCACACAGTTCTGACAACACTGACACATCATAGTACAGGGAATTAGCTTGATATTTGAATTTTTAAAAACATTTTTTTTTTTTAACCATATCTAGTTACACATACTAGACCAGGAGTCAGGGCCACCATCAGGGGGTGACAACCATAACGGTTGTCACGGGCCCGGCGGTCCTAGGGGGCCCGGACTGCTTTGGCAGTCCAGGGCCCCACAATTACTCTCTGCACCTATATATAGCGATGATCGCTATATATAGGTGCAGCTGCGGGCCCCCGGCTCCCTATACTTGTAGAGGGGGCCCAGCGGACTGCAGCTGTACTTTACAGAATTTCCCTCGCTCTAACTCCCATGAGAGTTAGAGAGAGGGAAATGTTGTAAAGTACAGCTGCAGTCCGCTGGGCCCCCTCTGCAAGTATAGGGAGCCGGGGGGCCCCACAATGCCACCGGACCACCAGGGATGGAATCCCCCCCCCTCCCTGAACCAGGTAAGAAAACAGATTACATTTACATTATTACATTACATGCATACACTAGTAAACACACACACACTCTGCATTCACTACATCGACACACACTCTGCATTCACTGCACCGACACACACTCTGCATTCACTGCACCGACACACACACTGCATTCATTGCACTAACACACACTGCATTCATTGCACTGACACACACACACTGCATTCATTGCACTGACGCACAGTCTGCATTCATTACACTGACGCACTCTGCATTCATTGCACTGACACACACACTGCATTCACTACACTGACACACTCTGCATTCACTACACTGACACACACTCTGCATTCACTACACTAACTCACACTGCATATATTGCACTAACACACACTCTGCATTCATTACACTGACACACACACTGCATTCATTACACTGACACACTGCATTCATTACAGGGGGGAAGGGGGAGGTGGGGAGGGGGGCCCAGACCTTGTACTTTGTCAGGGGCCCCAAAATTTCTGGTGGCGGCCCTGCCAGGAGTTCATCACTCATTATTTAGCTACTCCACGACACGTAGGTTCGAGAAAGGAAGCAAAACCTCACTGCTATGTCGCAGCTTATATTATACACACACCAGTCTTCGTTCGATGATGTATACCTGCCTTATCCTTGTTTATCCCTGCCTTATCCTTGTTTATCCCTTTCCTCCTTCTCTTGAATTGTTCATGCTTACACAAAAAAAAATAGGCATGCTTTTTCTAGGTCATGACATGTCCACTACTGTTGATGCCTTTATATTATTGTATCTATGCTACCAACATGCCTCAATAAAAAGAAAATTTAAAAAAAAATTAAAATAAAGAATAGTAAAACATATCACAATCAATTATATAGTCAGTGAAAGTAAGCATTTTTACTGACAATATCATCGTTATGATATGTTCTTCTGTCTCCCGAGTAAAACAGTACCCCCCATGTACAGGTTTTATGGTATCCTGGAAAGTTACAGGGTTAAATACATGGCTTGCGAGCCAAATTCTCTGGACTTTCTGCCTGGGCTGCCGGGCAGGTTCCTCAGATTGTAATGAAAATAATAAAAATATTATATAAATATATTTGTAGAATTTAAATCTATAATTTTTTTAAATTAGTTTTATTTATATATAGCCATAATACATATATGTGTATATATATATATATATATATATATAACGTCATTCTAAATGTATTTTGAATATATGTATATTAATATCAAAATACAGTTAGAACAAATTAAAACTGGTATATAGTTTTTTTGAAATTTATTATTTGATTTTTTTGAAATGTATTGATTATTTTTAATATATATATATATAAATAAATATTACAATACACTTATTAATGATGTATGTATGTGAATAGAAAAGTACTTAGATTATATATATATATATATACACACACACACACACACACACACAGGCTATTCCGGACATGTGATCGCGGGAGGGTGGGATCTGCCTGTTGCTCCCAGGCAGACCTCAGGATCGCAATCGCTGGCGTGGGAACGGCGGGGAACTGGTAAGTAGTAAGGACGGCGGGGACATTCTATGCCGCCTGCCTGCGTTTAGGACCGCCCCTCGTCCTTAAGAGGTTAAGAGGATACCACACAGGCGTTTTAGTGTTTTTATGTCACTGGGATTTTGTGTATTTTTGTTAGAAGTCCTTTGACTTTATGTATGCTTTGACACAACCGAGGAAGAGATGCATATGCCCACCCAGAATCCCTTCCAATAGTAACATCACTGAAAATGTGAGATTTCTATGGGAAAAGCAAGTCTTTTAGAAAGCGAAATGTATATTGCAGATATCTGTAAAAATTATTGTGTGGGAAAAAAATGCAAAAACCAAATATGAATGCTAAGCTTGGCCAGGGTTGGAAACTAAGTGGCTGCTAAAAAAATTACTAAAAACATACCCCATTTTGAATACCCTGGGTTGTCTACTTTTGCAAATGGTATGCCACGATGGGGTTAATTTTAATTCATGGGCTGCCATATAGTCTCAAAGGCAACATGGGCACAGCAAGCCAATCTGGCAAATTTCAATGTGTAAAAACTAAAAAGGGGCAAAATGTCCAGAGAATTTAATTTGCAAGCCCTATATTTGACCCTGTAACTTTCCAAAACTCAATAAAACCAGTACATGGGGGTAGTTTTCCACTGGTGAGCCATTGCTAAATTCAAATTGATGCGTTTTATTGCAGCAAAAGCTAACCGTGTTATGACTGATTATAACTCTATTAACTTTTAAATTGGGTTTCATAAATAAATGTAAATAGTTAAAATTTGGGCTGAAAGAATTTAGTTGGAAAATATTTCAATTGTATGCGACACATGTTTACTCGATGCCCCTCCCCCTCCATTCTAGAGGTAACTACCTTCCAATAACTTCCCCATTCATGTTCCTTTGATTAGTCCACAAACCCAGCTAAGAGAACACACAGAGAAACCGAATTTCCACCAAGCAATACCCACATTCCTGCTGATGTTATAGCACGATTCTCCAACTGCTTAAATTTTTACTCAATTACCTAGTCATTCCCTTTGCATGTTGCCAGTATCTGCAATTATCCTTTAATTTTTCTGGCCATCACCTCCAAATTACCCCTGCTGCCTCTTGTCTCAACTTATTATAACCTTAATATTATAAGCTCATAGAGTACCTAGTACTTTGCATAAAAGAGTGTCAGTGGCTAGTGCGCAGCTCATGGGCAAGGCCCTCTTTACCATTTGTATTTGTGTATATTTTACTTCTTCCCCCTCCACCTGTACAGCACTGAAATATGTTAGTTAGACTTTATAAATGCTAAAACTATATAATTGAATATTTGTTTTAATCAACGAAGACATCTAGTGGCCATGCATAGTACTGAAGTTGGCTCTGTTGTGTGTAATTTAGCTCAGCATTTTATATTCGCCTATAGATGTATTCAGGCACCATTTTATGAGGGTTTCCAATATGTAGTATATGTAGTCAAAGGTGTAATATAAAAAGACACAAAATATGAAACACACACACACTTGTGTTTTTACCATCAAGTCTTCCATTTGCTAGCAAAGCAATATATTCTTAAAAAGTTGTTGGTGGCACCTTATACCTTTCTGCTATACCGTTGATCCAACAAAGTAAAATTAGCAGTCATAGACATTACTTTCTGTGCCAAAAGCTATGGAGATCAAGTAAATGCATGTGCAGTCAATTCAATGACAATATAATAGAAAGGTTCAGTATACCTCTAAATAAACCACACTTTTTTGCCCCATATTGTGGCAAGAGTATGAGTGACAATATTTAGAGTAAAACAGTTTTGAAAGAGCCCCTTTGGGTGAAATGCATTAGTGTTTTATGTCAGTAGTTTTATTTAAAAAAAAAAAAAAGTTTACCTTACCTGACTTTATCCCTTAAGATTTTATCCTGAGGAGCCACACTTTTTACCTCCTTGGTGGGGAGTAAACCACCTACGCTACACAGGATTGAGTCATTTGTGGCTCTACTTATGGGAGTATACCTCTTTTATTTTGCTTTTACACCAACAAAAGCAGGATTCTGTTTTTATTCTTGTTTTGTGTAATTGGTGAATATCTGTAACACTGCAACTTGTAGGGAAATACCGGTGAACACAACTGGCTCTTGACTCTAACCTACCATCTGAGTGACATATCCGCAGGCAGGGATTATATCACCAAGGCGCAGATATCTGGAGCAGAACAAAAGCTCCAGAAAATTGTAAGTAGCATTTCTCTGATTTGACCTCACCACCTATAGAATATACTTCACATTCTGTTTTAGGTCTTCATATTTTCTATAATGACTCACCCTATGA